GAATGAATTGAATATGTCTTAAATAATAAGTGATGATCATTAAATTTTAATTAAAATTTGTGAATTTAGGTATTGTTAGATTATTTAATTTGAATATCATTTAAAATGGAAGAAAATTTTAAGTGACAAGAATATTATTTATCACTAAATACTAAATACGAAAATTTGAAAAAAATATAAAAAAAATTATTTATTTTTTAATTATTACTTAAAAACTATAATACTTAAAATTCAACTCTTTTTTTAGTACTTAATTTAAGTTTTATAATTAAAGTTTTTATTATCTTGTATTGTAAAGTTTTTATATTTTAATAAGTTTTACATTTATAAGTTTTGAAATCTGGTTAAATTTTATGTTGATCTATGCACAGTAACAGTGAACTACTCCTTTCTTCTAATTTTGCTAAACTAATTTTTTCTGGATAAACCTTCTAAAAATACTCCTGAACTGAAGTAAATTTTTTTATAATACTTTTACTTCCTATTTAAAAATATATGTAAAAAATACTTCTATGCTTTTTAATTTATGCGAAAAGACTCCTTAATTAATATAATACCTATTTTACTTTTTTATTCTTTCAAAAATACCCCTACAAAACCTTACTCACCGCCCCAAAACCGCAACCACAGGGCAAAGCCTTCTTCATTGTCGTGGGGTGCCGCACCACCGTCGGCGACCATAATGGGTCTTGATGCACCGGTGATGAACTTGGTCTCGAAATCCTAGGATTAATTTTGTTCAAACGAATTCAGATTTGGATGTGTAGTTATATGTGTCGCAAAGGTAAGGAAGTCTTTAAAGGAATGGACCAGCCTCCAGACTTCAACTTCAGTATCCTAGGGTTTAAAGCTACCACCAGTTATTGCTGATTTTTTGTCTAACTATGAGAATTTGAGTGGGTGAAAGAAAGCCGAGGAGGTAAATATGACGTATTGGAATATGCAAAAGTATGGAAATCCTCCATAGAGTACCAATTTGAGGAAAAATCCAGAACTGAGCCTCCGAACCAGTCACGTCAGTCGTCACCGTGCCCAGATCCCCGCTCGCCGGCCGCCGTCAGTTAGCCGAAGCCGTGTCTCTGCCGTTCAGTCCTCGCCGGTCAGATCTCCACAGCGTCCTCTTCACCCACCGCTGCACCAGCCGTCGCCCACCACTGCACCAGCGAACTCTTTACAGCCAACCCCTCCATCGCCGGTCAGATCATCCATCGTTGAGCCGAGCTCATCCCACCCATCACCGGAATATCGACTTCTCTAGTCGCTACTGTCGCCGCCGGGCCATTCCTCCACCGTTTGCTCACTGCATCACCACATCACCGAGGTTGCCGTCCTCCAAGATCTCTGCACCGTCGGTTTGTCTCGCCAGATCCTTGTCGCCGTTGTGCCAGTCCTCCATCATCACTGATTAAATCTTCTTTGTTCGCCGGAATTTGTTGGATCGCCACCTAAATCCTTGCCGATCGTCGCGGCGTTGCTTTCTCTGGTAGCCGCCGTGAAACTTTCTGGCTTGTTGTCCCTTTTTAGGTTTTTTTTTTTTTTTTTACCGGCCATTTTTAGTCATTTCATAAAATATTAATTTTTTATATATATTATTAAATATGTAACTAAGGGCATTTTAGTCCTAAGGATAATTTATTTGCACAAATGTCATTTTTTTGCATGCAAAGAGTGCAATATGCACTTTAATCATGCTACAGGGTGTTTTTTGCGCGAAGTATATTCAATTACTCATCATCTTATATGGAGGAGTGGGTATATGAAAAATCACAACTGTCCAATCTCTTCAAATTAATGGGTTGTTAAATTCATATAAATGAATGAAATAGGTCATCAGAGATCCACTTGAAATTCATAAATAATTAAAATCTTTATGGAGAATTACTAACAGATGAATTGCTTGTGAAATTTTTTCATACATTCCACTTGAAATTCATAAAAATCAAAATCATAGTTGGGATGATTTTTATATGTACTCTTTTAACTAAGTTCACCATTACCGTTTTTTATCTCGTATCTCTTTGTAGTAAGGGCTCCCTCCCCGGGTGCTATATATATAGAAAAAAAAGGTACACCTTTATGCTTTTCCGAGGAACGCCCCCAAACTCCCTCGGCCTCCTCTTCACCGCCGAGTCATCTACCAGTATATATGTATGTATGTATCAGTTTCACGGAGCTCTGTCTCTCTCTACGAGGAAATGAAAGGTGGATGAAAGGGTTACATCTTCAAGAACAGTCTTTTCGTACCTGCACAGTCAAACCTCAAAACCTTTATCGATTCATGCAAGTGTATAGTCATGTTCTTGTTATGCTTTCGCAAGACAAAATAGACTGCATTATTAGATACTTCTCTGTCTGGTCTTAATCTATAATCATCAATGTGGTTCACACCTCAACACATTCCAAAAAAGGCCCTCAGTTTTGACATCCTCTGTTTCTCTGTTTCTTTTTTGTTCGTTACATGACCACCTCTGTTTTTGTCTATTGCCATATTTTCTTGGAATAATGTCTAGGTTCACAGTTCAAATACGTGCATGCATGGGTCATAAAAAATCATCAATATCTTTTGATTTTTGTAACATTGATCTCACTTTCAGAACCGATTTTTTGTTTTTGAGTTTCGATTGGGATTCATAAACTTCAATATCTCAATTTTTTTTTTTTTTTTTTTTTTTTTAAACTCCTCCTGTGATTAGGTACTTTTCAGTTTATATCTTTTGATTTTCTTTGCTTTCTTAATTATATATAGCTATGTGTGTAGTTTTAGATTCAATAAACTCAAAAAGGTGACCTTTTTAGATGTGGGTATTAGAGTTGATAAAGATCTAAAACCACTCGAAGCTTAGCTTTATTTGTGTAATTGTTCATCCTCCACTCTGTCCTCTTCTCTGTAAAGGTTCAAACTTCAAATGCAAAGCCAGCTTTCTAAAGACATTCTTCAAGGAAAAGGAACTATCCTCCACACACACACGTACACACTCTCTCTCACACACACACCCCCCTATACTGCTATACATACTATTACAACTCGTTTCATTTCTTCTATTTTGTTTCTTTTTCTCTTACCACCCTCCTGTCTCCATTTCCCCTGCTAGTGGCTCTTTTTTATTCTTTTTTTATGTACGATTTTAAGAAAAATACTTGATTAAGCACCACCTACGTTGTTTTACTTGAATATAATTTATTTCTTATATATATATATATATATATATATCGTATATGTTATAATATCCTATAAAAAATCTTCACCAATCTTGATATAATACCCTACAAAAAATGGTCACCAATCTAATCCAAATCTCTCAAAAAAAAAAAAAAAAACCAGGTCTTCTCTCTCTCGATCAGTTTCAGATACAAGTCTCAATTGGTTATTTGAAACAATGAGAACAGAGCCCTTGAAGAATTCCAAGGTTTTTATATACATATTTATTGTTATACACGCACATAAACATATATATATATGTGATGATGATGAAAGTGAAACATTTCATGCAGACTTCGTGGCCAAAATTGGTGGTGAGAAAATGGTTGAATATGAAGAGTGATGCAGATGATTTTCATTCTGATTATACAATAAGTGGTATGATTTGTATTGGGTTTTTGAATTTTTGGTTCAGCTGTTTCGGATTGATTTAGTTTTAGGCTCATGTTTTGGATTTGAAGTAGTTGGTGATTTTTTTTTTTTTGCCACCCAGCCAAGGTTAAGGGAAGTGAGAGAAGGAAGAAGAGTCGCTCAGATGTGGACCGCTACGTCGTCGTACCGGAGGAACTCTCAGGTACTTTTCGTGTGCATCAATCAGCATAACTTCATGTTTCATACTGCTTCAGCCATTTCTTTCTTTATTTGGTACATCTGATCTGAGCCGTCGGATTGACGACGTTAGGAGATGATTTGACTACGACGTCGGTGGGTTGGTTAGGGGACCTAGGGTCTACTGGTCAGGTTGGGATATTAGCTTGGGGCCCAGTTAGTTAGTTTTAAATAGGCGGAATTAGTTTGCCACGTGGAGGTTGGTCTACCACACATTTATTCCTAGGATGTTATTATCTTGTTGATTTTTTAAATTTTTTATTTTTTGTTATTTTATGGTAGTAGTACCACTAGGCACTAGTACCATGTTGTTGATTTTATAACAGTTTTAAATGTGTTTTGATTTACTAAGAGCAACCGGTACGAGACTCTTGTGGCTAGCTAGGAAGTCAGTGTTACTAGCATTTGGTTTGGTATAAGGCTCTCAATTTGTGAGACCCAGAATAAAACTGGCAGGGTACATCGCAACAGGTGGCAAAGCCTTTGCGAGCCAGACAAGGCCCACATGGCCTGCAATCCGTCACAGCATGCCTTTGCATGGCTTTTTTTTTTCTTTTTTTTTTTTTTTTTTTTTCTTTGGCCCACAAACAACGGCTCTTTTCCCTTTTCTTTTTTTTTTTTCTTTTGTTTTGTTTTGTTTTTCTTTTTATATGTAATTTATTTTTATTGTAAAAAGTAAATTTATGATTTTGATTATTTTATTTTATTTTTTATTTTGAAATAAATATTTATGATTTCTATTTCTTAGTCTTTTGAAATTTTTTTTAAAAAAATTTGTCAACAAATATATATGAATTTTTTAAAACAAAAAATCATATTGTTAGAAATGGTTTTTTTTTTTCCTTTACTATTTCCTTTTATATGTAATTTAATTTTATTGTAAATTTTTTTTTTATTTTATGATTTTGATTTTTTTTTTCTTTAAAATTTGTCAACAAAAATATAAGAAAAAAAAAATTGTAAAGTAATATTTTATTCATCACAAACATACAATATGAAGAAATACATTTTACTTAATATTAACGTTAAAAAATACAAGCAAACAAAAAATATATATATATATGTTTTTAATTTTTTTTACTCAAAATATTAAATGTATTAAAAAAGTAAAATAAAAAATAATAAAGTAATATATATCAATTAACCCATACCGTATAAATAAGATAGTAATATATTATTATTAGCCACATCAGCACAATTGCTAACGTAACTAACAATTCAACAAAACTTTGTTAACATGTATTGCTAATACTGTACCACCACTTGCCCTAAGGATGTTATTCTCTCTTATTCACTTTTATTGTCGTTTTTGGGAATTGTGATCTCATGGTCCTCAAAAGCAACAATTAAAATGTAGTGAAAGTAATATTATCTTGTTAATTTTTTTAATTTTTTATTTTTTATTCTTTTATGGTAGTAGTACCACTAGGCACTAGTACCATGTTGTTGATTTTATAACAGTTTCAAGTGTGTTTTGATTTGACTACCAGAAAGGTGGCTGATAGAAACCGGTGGTGGCATTGAACGGCCCATATTTGATCCGGAGTCGTTGTCTGTCACAGACATTCTTAGCCCCAAGTAAGACCACAATTATCCAAATCCTTGTGCTAAATTTGGTGCAGTTCATTAATTAAAACATTAATATTCAATCTAACTACTTTTTTCAGATGTCCATTTCAACTATTTTTGAGGCGGAAAGAATAACTAATTTAAAGTTCGGTTTGAAGTATATGAATGAATAATCTATATTTAAAATTAAAAAATATTTAGTCAAAATTTTGATTTTCAATTTTAAATTTAATATGTTGATTTATTGATTCCAAATACAACGTAAATAAATTAGTCTTGAGGGAAAAAAAAAATATTGCATTTAAAAATTTAGTTTGATCAACCATGATTTATTGGACTGATCAAAGAAATTTGAAGAGATCGGTCAACAAAGTATTCAGATTAAATAGTAATATTCTTGACAAACTAGTGATTGTTACCTTGAAATATTAGAAATTAACTAATATTATTCCACGAAATTTTATTGGGACTTGGTAGGATGTTCGTGGGGACTTGGAATGTTGGAGGGAAGTCACCGCACCAAGGTTTGAACTTAACAGATTGGCTAAGGACACCTGCCCAAGCTGACATCTATGTTCTTGGGTAAGCATGCCATCTTTCTCTCTCTATATAATACTGTAGTCGTATATATGTTGTGTATATCATGCTATTTTTATCATATTCTTATTTCTACCCACTGGCCCACACATAAATAGATGGGTGTTTTTGTCATTGTAACCGAGATGGAAATTTTATTTTGAACAATATTTTGATCCAATCCAGTTAGATAAATTTAATCCAACTTATTAATGTTTTCGAATAGATTTAAAATAAGTATCTAAAAGCAAAAGTTTGGATTTAAAACACATCTAATGCAATGCCTAATTTAATTTTAACACTTGTCGCAATTTTATTAACAGGTTGGATGAAGTTTATCTAACCTGAGTTGGACCCAAATATTGTTCTTTTATTTTACAGTAGTAACCTTCTGCTGTGAATCAGGTTCCAGGAGATCGTACCCCTCAATGCAGGCAACGTGCTTGGCGCAGAGGACAACGGTCCAGCCGCCAAGTGGCTCTCCCTCATTCGCCATGCATTGAACAATGATAAAAATGAACTAGAAATTCCACATTACTGCGACAATGCCATTTACCCTGAACTCAACGATGAACCACCACCACCACCACCAAGTCTAAAACCAAGAGTCAGCTCCTCTGATTTGCTCTCATTAGAAGATGAACATTTCCAGAGATTCTTAAGCTTGAATCTGAACCCTAATTGTAGCGAAGACGACCCACCGAGCCCAATTATGCAGCATCAATATTGCCTAGCAGCAAGTAAGCAGATGGTAGGCCTCTTTCTATGTGTGTGGGTACGCCGCGACTTGTATCGGCATATTAGCAATTTGAAGGTCTCATGTGTAGGAAGAGGCATCATGGGGTACCTAGGAAATAAGGTATTACTAGTATAATCTTCTGGCTTCATTTGTTTGGTCCTAAAATATTTTTTCAGAAAATATATAATTTGATCCTAATTCCTAACTAAATATTTTGGGATTATATATAGGGATCGATATCTATTAGTATGACACTGCACAGGACTACATTCTGCTTTGTTTGCACTCATTTGGCCTCTGGAGAGAAAGAAGGGGACGAAATCCGACGAAATTTGGATGTGACGGAGATAATGAAGAAAACAAGGTTTTCTCATTCATGTAGAGTAGTAGCCGGGAAGCCGGTTCCTCCGGAAAGCATTTTGGAGCATGAGTGAGTGCTTAATTCATATCTTAGAAACACGTAAATTAATGATTAGGATCAAAAATGAGTTTTCAGTTTCCACTTGATTAGTAACGTCAAACTCTTGTTCTGTTTTTTATTGAACATAGCAAGATCATTTGGCTTGGAGATTTGAATTATCGACTTGCATTTAGCTATGAGGACACATATGAGCTGCTGCTAAAGAAGAACAATTGGCAAGCACTTCTTGAGAAAGATCAGGTGAGGTGGATTCATGGAAATTGAATTGTTTGTTTATTTATATTTCTACTTATAACAATCACTATAATGTGACAATCACCAATTTGGGGTCTTCTCAAATCTCAATCAAAAAATGCGTATGGTTTTGTTTGTCAGTTGAGAATTGAACAAAGAGCTGGCCGCGTATTCAAGGGTTGGGAAGAAGGGAGGATTTATTTTGCTCCGACATACAAATACCTCGCCAATTCTGACAATTACGTCGTCCAAACATCTGCATCGAAACAGAATAGACGAACTCCTGCCTGGTAACACCCTCAATTTATTTTTATTCCCTCCATAAATTGAGAGGTTCAGATGAACAATTACTACTACATTCTAATATTCTCCATTCTAACCATATATTAAAAAAAAAAAAAAAAAAAAAAAAAAAAAAAAAAAAAAAAAAAAAAGAAGTCCCCATGATACACATATATATTATGATATTTCTCTAATGATTTCATCGCATAATTAATTGGAAACACAGGTGTGACAGAATATTGTGGAAAGGTGAAGGTCTGAAGCAAATGTGCTATGTGAGGGGTGAGTCCAAATTCTCAGACCACAGACCAGTCTATTCACTATTCTCAGTCCAAGTCAATGTGGCCAACAACCCCAAGCCCATTAGGCCTGACTTTTTAAAACAGCTCACAACAAGCCCACCACTACCTACTGGGTTCTTCCCATCAACATTGTGTGGCTAAAGTTGAAGCAGAAGAGTTCTCGTTCCTAACAAGACCACAAAGCTGTATTATACAGAGCCACACCCATGTACTCGGTCACACACAGCCCAAAAGTGACCCACCAATAGGAGTATCACATTCTGATAGGTTGACAGACTGACAAGGTGCACCAATTAAGAAGCAATGGTTCTGATTGAAGAATGGCAGAATCTACTTCAACTTTTGCGGAGTGTGTATATATATAAATATGTATTTAAATGCAGATTGAGAGAGAGAGAGGGGTTTTGTTATATTATAATTGGGGCTAAAAGGTAGTAGTTTGTAGAGAAGAGAGATGTTGGTGTTGGTCACTTTTGTTTGTTTTCCAAATTTTGCCTCACAAGCAGTTTTCTATATTAATAATTTGTTACAATTAAAATGGAAGGGCTTCATGGACAATGTTACTAAACGTCTCACTTAACGGACATCATTCATGATATTTATCATTTTTCTACATAGAATTAACTCCCGAGGACAGCATGAGTTACCAAAATTGAATGATACTACAGATTTGCCTTTGCCTTTGAACATTCAAGTTTAGGGGTCCTCCTCATTTATAAATATTTTGATTTAAGTAAGAAGAAAGTGAAAATATATATATATATATATATATATATATATATATATATATATATATATATATCTCAAGCCCATTATCGGCCCTCTAATTGATAGTCCTAGCATTTCTCCACCTGTCCAATTTGATCAAGAATAACCCAAGGTACAAAGCCCAATGTTTGATAAAAATCTGTAATGTAGCAGTAGTAGTATTGTGATAAAAAAATTAATGGTGGTTGAACAATTAAACTGATGGTTGTTTTTGTGATTGGGATTATAATTTCCTTTGTCAATGAAACTAAAATATGTTTTTTTATATTTCCTAACTTTAAATCAATAATATAAATTTTTTAAAATATATGTTTTACTTATTACATAAAAACACCCCACAAAAATAAATAAATAAATTTACTTCACTAGTGTTCCAAAGTCGTGATCACTCACATTCTCTGGTTAGACAATTATCACTTTGTTAAAAATTAAAAATTAAAAAATTAACATGTTCATAACCATATAGAGCCACATTTTGTAACATCAGACCCTAAACGGCCCTTAGATGGATTATCAAACTACCACCCTCCTCACGTGCCCCAAATCTATTCGTGATGATAGATTCAAGTTCGACTACAGTAGTTTTATGAAACATAAACGGCCTAGATGGATTATCAAAACACCGCCCTCCCCACGTGTACGGAGTAGATTAGGCCTCACAAACTGTGATCGTGTAGGACACCTTCTTATAATATATTCTTACTCACAAATAAACCCTTCTCTCCCCAATCCAATACTATCCGTCTCTGAGATCTCGCCGTTGTCCTCATCCGTACAATCGCCGGTGTACTTATCTCATCTCCGCTCGATATCCGTACGGTCACTGATGTTTCACTCTGCACCAGAGGTAAACACATACACAGTTACACACAATCAAATAGATCTCATTTTAGTTCCTTTTTTTAGGGCTATTTATTTATGTTTTTGGTTTTAACCCTGCGTTTGGTTGCTGAGAAAATGAAAGAAAAATATAAAAATAATTTAATCTCTAGTCCTTGTGTCTTCTGCTGCTCTAGTTCTTTTAATTAATGTAAAACTCGATTCAACTTAGGTAGTGAGTTGGAAACGAGTAAATTTTTTCTAGAATGTCTCGGGTCGAAATTGATGAAAAATGTATAATATAAAATTGTGACTTATTTTTATTTCATGCATTTTTCTCAGCAATCAATGAGCAAGGAGATGAATATTTTTGCATAATCAAGATCTATTATGATCCAAAGTAAGAAAAAGTTTCAGATTTGTTTTCTTAGTAAAATGTTTGATTTTTTTTTTTTTCCCCTCTTCTTGCTAGACGGACTCTGTGGGAAAAAAGTTGCAAGCTTGCCTTTTTGTGACGGCTGTTTCAAGTAAATTGAACTCTTCAATATTTGTTATTAGTCATCAGAAGCATTCAGTATAGCTGCAGATTCGTTTTGAAGGTCTGAGGACTTTCAATTGCAGGAAATATTACTACAACGGAAAAAGGGTGGAGAAAGCAAGTCAGTGAGGAAATATTAAAACTAGAGACATGGTATGTTTTGAAACCCTTCTTTGGAAATTTGGAGCATGTTTAGTTCAGGTATTTCAAAACTGTTTTCATCGACTCAAAACAGAAATAGGTTACAATCCTATTACTTCACAATTTTTCATGCATTTCAAATTAATGATAAGTTTGGGTTCGTTGGATAGTGCAATCCAACCATTCATATCACCATTATAAAATATTTATATTTGATGTAGAGAATCATGCTTTAGATGCTAAGTATTCTGTTTCCGAAAAAGTATGCAATCATCTGTTGCTAAAGTACAAAACTTTTTCCTGAGAACCCCTAATTGGAAAGCGGCTAGATGGCTATTGTGTTGGATGCTTTGCAACTTACTCAAACAAATGGAGTTTGAGTACCATACAGCATACAGGCATACATCAACAAATTATTGGTACTTTAAGCATATACAAATCGGTATATTTTGTGGTACTTTATATTGTCTTTGATTCTACTGCCTCAGACACAGAACATATTACTTAACATTTTGTTAAGGTCACATTTAATTTGTTTATTAGAGCGGCGGAGTTTGATTCTTATTCAGTTATTCAATTGGAGGATAAGTCATTAGTGCAAAGTTAGAAGTGTCGGTGTTCTTTTTCCATCTTTTTTTCACCCTTTTTGTTTAATGAACTGTGTGGTAAAATACGCAGTCCTTCGAGTGGTACCAGAGTTTTTGTCAGCAAAACAGCAATTAGGGAAGTAACACTGGAAAAGTAAAGAACAATTGGGGGAATAATCTTGATGCATGCTTGTGACAGTTCTATATTCATATAGGCATTGAAGATTGATGATCGTTCTTTCAATCTTTTGTAAATTGCTAAATGTTGACATTATTTGAGATATTATTTATGATTTTCATTCCAGAACAAAGGGTTTTGGATGACAAAGGGTCCCGGGGGTTTAACTGATGGTGATATGGCTTACGACAATACTTCCAGAATTGAGCCAAAGCGTTCTCATCAGTGGTTCATGGATGGCACTGAAGCAGAGCTATTCCCCAACAAGAAGCAAGCAGTCGAAGTTTCAAGCCACAATTCATTCACTGGACTTCTAAATTCAAATGTTTCTCCTTGGGGAAATGCTTCAGGTTTTCACTCATTTGCTGGTCAATATAGTGAAAGATTATTTGACCCTGAAGCTGCAAGGACCATCAACTTTGATGAGAGAAACATTCCCACAGTTGGAACAGATAATATCAATATGGGAAGAAAAGTAATTGAGGATCCACTTGTGATTGATTCTTCATTTGGTTTATCCATATCTCATACGCTGGAAGATCCTAGGTCAGGTATTAATTATGGTGGGATTAGAAAAGTTAAAGTCAGCCAGGTTAAGGACACTGACAATTTCATGTCTATGTCAATGGGTGATGCCTATACTAGAGGGGATAACAGTAACATGTCAATGCCCCATGCTTATCGCAAGGACGATGACAATTTCGTGTCAATGGGTCTTTCTTTTAATAGTGGAGATGGCAATGTCATGTCAATGGGTGACACCTATAACAGGGAGAATAACAATTTCATGTCAATAGGCCAACCTTACAACAAGGGGGATAACAGCGCTGTATTGATGGGTCACACCTACAAGGAGAATAATAATGGCATATCAATGGGCCAGACTTTCTGCAAGGATGATGACAATATCACAACTGTGGCACAAACCTTGAACAAGGGAGATGACAATACGATATCAATGGGTCATACTTTCAAGGAGAATAGTAATGCCATGTCAATGAATCAGTCTTTCAGCAGGTGTGAGAGCAATATCATAACAATGGGTCAAACTTTCAATGAGGGGAGTGAAAATACAATATTGATGGGTCATACCTTTAAGGACAATAATAATGATGTCTTATTCAGCAAGGGTGATAACAATAACACATCAATGGATCCAACCATCAAAAAGGGGGATGGCCATACAATATCAATGGGTCACTCCAACAAGGTGGATGACAATTCCATAACAGTGGGCCGTGCCTACAGCAAAGTTGATAAAAATAATTTATCAATGTGTCCCTCTTTCAGCAAGGGAGAAAGTAATATCATATCCTTTGGTGGCTGCCATGAAGATGATGATATTAATTCTTCAGGAAGGCTTATATGCAGTTATGACTTGTTGATGGGTCAGTCTTCAGCTCAAAGATCAGAAGTACCGAATGAAAATGGGTTGATTGAATCAAACAGAGATGCACTTGTAAGTGCTGCTCAGATGACTGCATCTGGAGTTGCAACTGTTTCTAAGAAGAAAGAAGAGCAAAAGGGGTCTAAAAAGGTTCCTCCAAACAGTTTTCCTTCAAATGTCAGAAGTTTGTTGTCAACCGGTATGCTGGATGGAGTACCTGTGAAGTATATTGCCTGGTCACGGGAGGTAAATTTTAGTTCTAATCCATTCATCTGTCAGATTACCTTATCACCCAGTGACATGTGGTTATTCTATGCATGTTAGAAGGAACTTCGCGGTATTGTGAAAGGTTCTAGTTATCTATGTGGCTGTCAGACGTGTAATTTTTCCAAGGTCAGTTTAAATTAACTTATTCATTACAACATCTAGGGAATTCTTGAACTTATTCTGTTGACCTAACGTCCAATATGTTGGTTTCTGTAGGCAGTTAATGCTTATGAATTTGAGCGTCATGCCAGTTGCAAAACAAAACATCCAAATAACCACATATACTTCGAGAATGGAAAGACTATTTATGGGATTGTTCAAGAGCTCAGGAACACGCCTCAGGATTTGTTATTTGAAGTTATTCAGACAATTACTGGATCTCCCATTAACCAGAAATCTTTCCGTCTTTGGAAAGGTAGTGCAAAATATATGATTTATTACTGTTGACTGTTTAATATCCTTTGTGTCGCACACCTTTCATTTTCATTATTATTATTTTTTATCTAACATTTTTATGAATTGTGATATGCAATATCTTTCTTCTGAGTGCTACTTTTCCTCCTCTTCAGAATCATTCCTAGCTGCTACTCGTGAACTTCAGCGTATATATGGAAAAGATGAAGGGAAACAATTGTCATAAAGCAGTTTGTTCAATTGTAAGGTCGGTTAATCTTTGTTTTGTGAACACAATTACATGTATTCTTGGCAATATTTTTTTTACACGTATAAGAGGTTGGACATCATTCTGGTTTAAAGGCATGGCGTTCTGGAGTTAGGAAACCAACTTCATACCACCCAGAAAAGAACCCTATTAGCTTTCATTTGATGGATGTCTCCATGTCATTCTTTATAATTTCCTAAAGGAAATAGAAAATCAAGTTATTTTTTTACTTATTATTGTAAAGGTTCTTGTCGATATTGTATCACATTTTCGTTCTTTCTGATTAATCTATATATGCCTCTTTTGCAAAAATCTGATCTCTTTAAGTATAAGATATGTATAGAGCCATATTTTTTTTAATACTTCTGTTTTGGCCCTATGAGGGATAGCTGTGCACTATGATCAATTTTTTAAAATAAATACTGTATTGAACTGGATGGATGCCATCTAAATCTTAATTCCTATATTTATTTTTTTAACCAGAACTTTGTTTTGAACTGGATGAAAGCAAGGCCCGTCCATTTACAAGGATCATGATTCAGCCATGCAACTGAATCACATATCAAACTATGATTAATCTAGGAATAGATATATGAAATGAAGATTGGTGTATTTTTCCTTTCTTACTTGTTCTTTTGTTCTCTCAATAATATATTTTTCTTTTTCTCAATCTGTCTGCTTCTCATTGTGTTTCATTTTGTTTTTGTGGATTCGCTCTTGATTTTACCCGAAGGAAAAATAGGACCGAAGCAAAAACACTGTTTTTCTTGTCACTATGTTTCTAGTCTGGTTTGTGTTTTCCATGCTTAATCCTTTTATAATGTGCATTACATTAACTCACACAGTTGATAGGACCTAATAAGTAATTATTGAGAGGTGAACTATTTACGCCACTTGTTATGACTGGGTCCAGTTATTTTAAGAAAGTCATGCATTTATAGTAACTAGAAAGCACAAGATAGTTGAGAATTTTCAGTCTATTTTGTGATATTATTATTATCTGTGTTATTAAAGGCCCAAGTTGCTAGAGGTCCTTTGGAGACTAGGCGCGAGGTGCTCGCCTGAGTGAAGTGTGGCGCACAATTGAAAATTTAAATTAAACATTCATATCTCATAAGTCATATCAATATTCGACAAATTAATATCAAATATGAAAAAGTAAATACATCAACTAAACAAGCATCCAACAACCATAAAATGGAGCACAAATTTGTTTTCTTGAAAAGCAAAGCATAATTTGTTTTTTTGAATGGCAAAACAGAGCACAAAAAGAAACAAATCTGTTAACAAAATATATAATTATATATATATATATATATATATTGCTAACAAGAAAAGAAAAGGCAGAGCAAAAAAAAACGACACGGAGAGACGGAAGAAGTAGATTAAGAGAGATAAGTAGATGAGAAGAGAGAGAAAGTGTTAAAGAAAAAAAGGAGAAAAAACCGAGCCCCACAAAACCAAAAAAAAATTAAAAAAACATGATTAGAGAGAAGAGAACTAGGCAAAGATAGAGATGTAAACAAAGATAACAAAAGAGAGGAGTAGAGGAGAAGAGAGGAGAGAGGAGAAGAGAGAAGAATATGAAAGAACTGACGCACGTCTCACTCTTTCTTTGTTTGGTTGACGCTTTGACTATTGGGCTTTCTTATTTGTTTATTCTTTTGAATAAAAGTTTCTTCTCTCGAACGCTTAGGCTTTCTTATTTGTTTATTAAGTTGCCAATAGTACCATTTTTGGCTTAAGAAATAGAATAATCATAGTTTTTTTTTTAAATCTGCGAGACGCGCCTCACAAACAGGACGAGGCACAACCGAGGCACGCGCCTAGTAAACATTAGTGAGTCTGGGATGACAATAGGCGATAGACCCGAGCCTCGAGCCCAGGCGCCTAGGCGCGCCTTTAACAACACTGATTATTATTATTATTATTATTATTATTATTAGGGTCTTACAACTGTTCACACCTCATATTATTAAAATCTTCAATTGCTCAGTACCCAATTAGAGACCATGTAAAGGGACATTCAGTGCTTTAATGCATTGCAGGGGGGCTATTAGTTAGATTTAGAGGGGGGGAGCTTCATGCATTGGGCAGCCCTTTATGAATTGTGTGATGCAATTCATACCCTGGATGCCTATGACCAATCACTAGTTTCTTTATCTGTCTGCTTTCTTTTTATTTTCTTCAAATTTTCTCCAATTCCAATGCTCTTTAGAGCTCTAACGAATCAGTCCTAGCTCTTTTGGACTTTAAGATCATACTAAACAAACCCTATCTTTCCATTTTCAGTTATTCAACCCTAGCTGACTAGAAAATATCGTACAGTCCCTAATGCTCACGAGTATTTCTCACAGCCTCCAGCAGTCCTAGAGTTTTGTTTCTTGCTTAATTTAAGCCTCCAATGATATTAACACATCCAAAAGGCTGTACACCTCCGCCACCTTTACCCACAGGAAATCAGTTATAATCTATCTTAAAATACCTTCTTTACTGCTGCCTGACATTCTTGCACTAAATATTGTATCATAGCTAGTAGAAGCATGATACTTGTATTTGTCGTACATCGTTTTCTCTTTTTGCTTAATTTAGCAATGAAGTACCTCTCACTAAACATTACATAATTTAGATGTCTATTTGGACATATGTACTTGGTTTTATACCAGCGAAGTATTGGTCGATATTCGTTTCACAAATTGCTATCCCTGCGGCCACAACAATTTAGCACCTCTGATAATGAACAATTGCTCAGTTCTCCACTATATGTTGGAACATTTTTGTAGATAATCATTTTCCCTGCTGCGTCATATTAGACGAAGTTCCCTGATGCACAAAAAGAGTACCAGTAATAGACATCACGCTTTTTAGAGGCTGCTATAGTGAAGTATGGATTATTTCTGTTTTTGTTTCTTTAAGTTATGGGGGGTGCATGGGACTTGAGTACTTGACCCTTTAACGAAAATTTAAAGCTAGGTTATCTAGTTCATTTTTGCATGGGCTTGGTCATCTCTGACCACAATTCCTTTGCTAGACTGATTGATGGTGATTGGTGCATCTGTTGTGGTGCTGCTCAGTCCAACTTGGTATAATGAATGAGAGATTGCAAGGAAAAATCTCTTTGTAACTCTAAAAATTGCTTGAAGCAGGAGGGAGAGAGAGAGAGAGATGACATAGGGCTGAGAGAGATATGAGAAGCAGAATTAGGGGAAATAAGATAATAAGTAGGGCCGAAGAACTGAATTTCAATATAACAATCTAAATCAATCCCCATAATATGCCCCATCCAATAAATCAACCTATATATATATATATATATATATATATGCAACTCACTATATACTGGTAAGTGCTGCCAAAATATATTTTAAAAATAAATAAAGAAAATCCCAAAAATACAAATACATAAAATTGGTCAACATCCATTTATATATGTGCCTCTAGGCCCTCTACCTAAAATAAGTACATATATCATGATTCACATAGGGCCCAACAGGATCTCCATCAATTCATTCCGACTTGGAAAGAATGTGGCACTTCATATGATCATTATCTACGTGAGATATGATTCTAGACGACCTTTTCATCGAAGGAGGTATCATTGAGTATCTCCTTAATGGTAAATATCACTCTCGTCAATAATATCCTCAATTTGATAGAAATGTTGTGGCTAAAAGGTCTAAAGAACTTGTGTTAACACTGTAGAGGATACAACTCCACCTGTAAAGAGCACATGATGACAAAATAGGCAACTCAAAGGTGCTTCGGAAAGGAAAAAGATACTCCAATATTGGAAATTGGAAAAGTACTTGTGTCCGATGGCAATTCTCAATGCATTTGGTCATAAATTATGAATAATGTGGACGATCTGGTAATTCGAGCATATAATGTATGTAAGGAATTCTTAAAATAAACTTTTGGTTGTAAGGGCTAGCTCAAAGCACAAGGCTCCTGCCACATTGCAAGGTCTGGGGATGGTCAGATGTACACATCCTTAAAATAAATTTTGGGTTGTAAACAAATTATAACATAATCACCTTTGTTAAATTCTTGATTCCTATTATAGCATGTGTAACAATGAGTAAACTTGTTTGTGATACTCATAACAGGAATTCCAATTCTATAATGGTAATCATGTTATAGTTCCTTTACATCCAAAGCTTTATCTTAAAAACTCCTTAAAGTAGTTACATGCCCTAGCCATAGGACCATTCCATATCATTTGTAATTTAGAACCCAATGCGTATTTACTTGACCTACTGGTGTAGAACATTGAAGTCAAAAAGATGTGCCAACATGTGGTGAAGAGAGAGAGAGTCAAAAACTGCGATGGTGTGTGCACACGAGTCATGAGATTGGATGTAGAAAGTCAAAAAAGGTGAAGACACAGATGGTGTGTGCATGTGAGGCCTGATATTTTGAATAGAAAAAGTAGGTAATGGCACGAAAAACAAATAAACAAATAGTTGAAAAAGCTTGTGTAAAAATGCCATAAGTGGAGCATGTAGGTCGGTTGTGATAAGTCTTACTCATCAATTGATGCCCGCCTTTGAAAATCAGAAGTGATAAATAGTATCACATTCATCTATTAGTTGTTAAAGGTTCATGGCGCACTAAGGCTCCAAATGTCTCCTGGAGCCTAAGCAGAAGATGCAGTATAAGACACGAGCTTGATTGAAGTAAGGCGTGTTTGTAATCATGCATAGTAATTAAGTATATGAAGAATAATTAAGCTATGCAACACAAACTTGTCAATATCAAAATAAAGAATTTTTTCAACATATTAATTCAATGAATTAGCTAAATCAACATGCATATATCTTTTCTATTTACAAATGTATTCAATAACGTTAATGTACAACTGGAACAATTCAAGATATGCAACACTAATAATAATGGATTTTTTTTATTTATCAACTAAGAGGATCAAGTAAATTAATGCTCTTAAATATTTTCATATGTATATACATTAAGTAAATTAAATGTGAATACAAATTATTAAATGTGATTACAAATTTGAAGCAATTAAAAACTTCAATCATGCAAAGTTTAAACATATTTATCATAAATATTCAAAATCAAGCACTAAATGCAATTACTATCAGTGATGAACCATAAATCTATGAATTTTGTTAATTATTTCATAAAGTTGAACAATATCATCCATTAAATAAGATCATGATATTATGTGGAACATTTTAATTTAACAGTCATTTAATTAAAAAGTAATAGAAAATAAAAGCCACGCTTTTTTGTTTTCGAGCCTGGAGCCTACTAATAAGCACGAGCCTGAAGGCTTTATGTGGGCCTGACTGAAGGGGGCTGGTCTATACTAGGTCGAGGCACCCCAGTCGAGCCTTGACGAGTCTGGGGCTTTTTTGGAGCCTAGGTGTGCCTTTAACAACTATGGTTTACCTGGTTGCAACTCAATGTGAAAAGCTGTAAATCTGAAGGGCAAAGCAGCAGGGAATGTGAGTTATGGAAGACATATGGTGGTAAGAAACACAGGGTGAGCTTCTGCTTTGGCAATTGCTCACTTTTGATTTTCAAAGGCAAGCAACAGTTTGAGCCAGCCTATTGCAACCGACTTATGTGCTTCAATTTTACACAAAATTTTCAACCATATGTTTACCTGTTTTTCATGCCACTATATACTTCTATTCGGAACCTCACGCCTCACAGGCACACGCTATTATTGTTTTTGACTCCCTCTTTCTTCTATTTTTCCTTCACTGTGTGATGGCACATCTTTTTTACTTCAATATTCTACATCACTTACTATCAACTATGGGTATTAGTTCAATTCTCAAATTGAAGGACGTATTCCCTTACCAAGATTACTTCAATCCTCCCACTTTGTCAGCAAATTTATCTAAAGGTAGAGTTGCATCTTCATTCAACACCAGTACGCGTTCCTCCACCATTTCAGTTGTAGATCGTGAATCAAATTAGGTATGTGTTATACTATCAAAGTATTGCTTCTCACTAGAGTGATTATCAACATTATCTTACCTGCTGGAAAGGTTGACCAGATACACATGACACATGGATTACATGTAGTATATATCCAAACCGATTGGAGCAGTACTACTAGGTTTACTCTCGGAAGGCGAGTACTTTTCGACGTTGGAGAATTATTGGAGATCATGATGGACCCTTGTCACATGTTATACCTACTTATTTTAGTGTAAGCGTAGAGGATAAATTATTTGGATTGTTTTCTGTACTTGTATTTTTGGTAAATTGTATTATTTTTTACTTATTTTTGGCACTATATGTTAGGGTTTCTTTTAGGCTAATGTACTAAGATTGGGTTAGATTTTTGGAATGAGATTGTTTGATGAAAATTAGTGTTTCCTCTTTCATCTCTCTTAGCTTCATCTAGGGGTGGCAATTTGTGTCGCCGTGTCGTGTTGTGCCATGGGTATCATGTTATATGTGTTGACATGAACATGGCACGATAGTAATACGAAATGACCCTCGTAACCTGTTTAATAAATGGGTCAAGACATTAAATGACATGGCAAGACACATTTAATTAAAAGTTTAGTTAAATGGGTCATTTCTAATATGAACACAACACCTTTAGTTAAACGCGTCATTTCTAACACGAGCATGACATGTTTTGTTAAACATGTCTAATCAGGTTATAAACGGGTTCGCGGGTCAAACACGGCATGGTTAATTAGCGTGTCAATTCATATCGACGCAATTACGACCCGAACAGGATTAAACCAAACCCAAACTCACTTATTTCGTCGTGCTAGCATGTCATGTTAAGTATTGCCACCCCTAGCTCTATTTCATCCCTCGCTCTTCACTGCATCATCGCTCCAATAAGTTGAGGTCACCTTTAATTACCCAAGAGAAAGATTTGAGATCACCTTTGGCGTTGTATTCCCTTTTATAATTTGCTGTTTTAATCACTTCTATTAGAACTTTTTATGACAATGGTGTGTGGTCCAGAATGACTGTGAATAGGACAATGATAATGATGCAATTTCATGGCTGTAAACAAGAAGTACATAATTGCTCACCCCCTCATCTAGTGCGACCTTAGAAAGGACTTCCATCTCTGCAAGACCCAAAATGTAAAAAAATGACAGCGCTTGAATGCTTCACACTTTTAAACAGTTACCTGAAAGATCACTTGATATGTCATCTCTCACTATTGATCTCTGTAGACAAATAAAATGATTGAAGGGATTTATTCTCAACAAGATCATCAGAATTTAAACAGTCGCAATGTTCTTGTTTATAAAAAGGCCGTAGTCGGATAATCTTCAACAGGCTCTCACTTCTGAGTATTCCACACATTAATTTTAAACTCCATCATTACTTTAAAGTCCTTGTTACCAAAGATGAGATGAGACGTCTTTTGTCACTTTGAACGTATTGTTTGATCCACCTATAACCAATGAAATGCTTGAAAAAGCTTTGATTCTTGTGTTTTTTTGTTTGCTATTTTCTGCATGCGAAACCTACTAAGTTTTGAATACTAGCCTGTTGGAGTTCCTTTAAAATGTCCATTGATTGGTTCATCATGCTTGTGGACCATTGTAGTATATTCAGTAGAATTAAAGGCCACTATATGTGTATGTATCTTTTCTCTTTTTATTTACTTTTTTAATACATTTGCAGGATTGGATCTCCATGGTGCATCCGCTTAGCCTTCATATCCAGCTCCAGTAGTCTTGTGATCTTGAGCAAAAAGAGATACAGCTGCACCTAGGTCCTCAGTGAGTTTTGTTGGGGAAAAAATTCTGTAAATTTTTGTTTTTACTTAATGGCTGTAAAAAGACGGTAGCAAGAAGGTTTTTCATCATGTTTTTAATCAATGCTTGCATTGAAGGGTAACATAATATTGATGAGCAGAAAGTCCCCTTGTTACTGATTTTGCCCTCTTTTTGGATTTTGTTACTCGAGAATGTTTTAAAGAAATTCAATATATTCTTGGTTGTTTTTCTTTATATGCATGAAACTAAGCCTGCATACTGTGGTGAGTGTTTAAACTAATAATTCATTCCCCACGAAGAATGGATTAACTTGTTTTGCAGATATAATTGGTTGGACCAACAAAATGTATATGTGCTAGGAAAAAGCTTTATGGGGCACTTTAACCGTTCAGCCGCTGGAGGACATGCTCATAGTGAGAGCGTTTTCATGATAAACATATTCTGTATTCTCTCTTTGGATGCCAATCCCTGTCCATCGGAGGAAGAATATAGGAGTGGTGCGTATCATCATCATATTTGGTCTTGGTACAATCCATCCATCCCAATTCCTTTGATTATCAGGAACCTTATACTAGGATTCTCGGTGATTTCGTGCCATGATCTTTTCACATGCTTTGTTGTTTTGGACTTGAAAATATACCCGCGCACAGGTGCACATTCGCTTGGTCGAGTGATGCTGTTAGTCTACATTTCGTATCTTAAATCTCAGTACAATGCACGGGTTCTTGATGTTGGTTCTTGTGCAGTCTAGTTGATTTGCTTGTTAAGGAGTCTACCTACCCTCTTGAATTTGAGTGGTGGTGATTCGTGAAGGTTTGTGGTGTTGTATTTTGTTATGGTATTTCGGTATTGAAGGATTGTGTGCTTTTATGTAATGGTATTTCCTCTTTTTTATTGCATGATGAGTAACTATTATGTCTGTCATAGGACCTTGTTGTGGATTCATTGCACATTTTTGTTTTCCTGAAAAAGAAAAAAGAAAAAATGCATTAATGGATCTGAAATAAATGTCGGCATTGATTCTAACTTGCACATGAATATGAATAAATTATACTATCTTGTAAACTTTTGTGTCCATTTAATTGTGTGTCACTTGATACAACTAAAACGGTATGATTTAACCATAAATTCCTTCTTTTCGGTAGTTGTGCTTGCATATGTATTTATAACTTGAACATTCATTATGCTCCATAACAAAATGGATGAAGGAAATCATCTTGGCTTCTCGAACTACTTGAAAGCTCAATGCCTTGATGGGCTGTTTGGTTTTAAACTCAGAAAATACAGAACATTTTTCAGAGAATTATAAAAGATTATTCTCTGAAAACAGACATTTTTATAATTAAGTTTTCAAAAACAGTTTTCAAAAAACTGAATCAAGACAGTTTTTTTATACAGTTTTTTGTTTTCAGTTTACCGAGAACATAAAAACTATTTTCATAATTATAAACCAAGTAAGTCAATTTTTGATGAACTTCATGGGCTTAAAAATAATAAATTTCAAATTATCTTAGGATTTACCCTCGGGTGAGCCTTGGTAATTACTTTTTCGTGAAGAAATCCAATAAATTTTGATAAAATTATGGACATGCAAAAAACAGTCCAAGCTTTTGGCTACCTTAAAATAAACCACTATATATAAAATTAAATATAAGAGATATGACTGGTAAAGAAATTATAAAATAGAATGAAAAAGAAAATTTATGCGGCCTCTCATTTTGGTACAAAGGCAAAGATATGATGCCGATAATAAATCACACTACCTATTGGTGTAACAGAAAGCTTCTACTGATCTTTTCTCTCATTTGTCAAATGGGCTCAAAGGATATGTGTGAAAGAAATTATGTGGAACATGGTGGAGTCTGCTTTATCACATAATCTGGGGCTAATCTCTCTCTCTCTCTCTCTCTATATATATATATATAAAGACGCACCCACAAAACATCACTTCATCAGAATACTTTGAATGAGCAAAAATTAAGCTGCTTTGTCATCGGGACAAAAAGGTCAACGGATGGGTGTAATACGGTAGTGCCAAGTGCAAGAATTTATAATAGTAACATAAAAGAAAAGGAAAAAAAACAAAAACAAAAACTTATATTAGATTCCAAAATAAATAGGAACTATGATTCAAAATTAAAATTAGTAGCTGCCAATAATAACAGTGATAACCATACAAGCAACCCTGATATTGTCATAGCAAGATTAGTTTTTCCCACCAAAATAGTTAATAAGTTGAGGAGGATATGTATTCTTGCAATCCTATCTTCAATCCATGATTATACTGCTTAACCACAGCAAGCTGATTTCTGTGCAGCTTGTGCAGCCCCCGCTGCTTGGTCTGGTTGGTTGATCCTGATGGTTTGAGGCTGCAACCATCAATTAAACATCTTAAAACCTATGTTCTAAATTTTCTAGAGTGACATAAATGATAAAACAATTATCCATGTCAAACACTCGGCCCCAAATCTAATATAAAGACATTCAAGACTCAAGAATTATTTGCAGCTATGAATAATTTGAAGTACAAGATGTTCTCGTTTAAACCAGAGAATAACAAAAATAAATTTGTTTTTTTCTTGGAGGGAAAAAAGGATAATAAAATATGAAGAAAAAATTAAGGATGGACTCACAAAATTGTGGGACCATGAGTCACACAAAATTGTAAACAAATGTAAAGATATTCGAGCACGGAAACAAATTATTCAGTTCTGCATGAAAAACTATGAAAATATCAGGTTTCATGTGTCATCCTGATAATTGTAGCTATGTTATTAGATTAACCAAAGGTGAATAACAGAAATTGCCAATTTGGTACCATATGGGTAAATTCAAGATTAAAGAGTTAAATTTCAAGATGCTAACCGTAAGATTTTAAATCAACAACTGATTTTTGGAATATATATATATATATACACACACACACACACAGAATTGTTCATTTGATCCCTGGTGTGCAGGAAAATGTATGCACACCTCAAGTATTAACCATCAGATTTCATTGGACAGTTAAAAAGTAGTTTATGCTTTTATATCCAACGGTTAAGATTTAATTCGTGCATAAATTCCCTGCACACCATTGAGAAGGTGAACAGTCCTATATATATATATATATATATATATATATAGAGAGAGAGAGAGAGAGAGAGAGAGAGAGGGAAGAAGAGGAACACGGGGGGATAGGTTGGCTAATAATGCTACAAGCCAGAGTAACAAAAAGAAAACAAATGCACATTTGATTGTACACAATAATAGAGTTCAAAATTCTACAGAATATCAGGTGGAATTGTTGAAACGTTAATGAAAATAAACATATTATTTTGTTAAACATAAACAACTAGGCCATACATATTCACGAAAACATTAGGTATAATTTGGAACTTATTTGAAAGTTTGAAAACTCGTACCTCAGCCTTAGTGTCAGTTTCTGCAAGTCTTTGCTTTATATCCCTTGCTATTGAAAAGAAAACTTCCTCCACATTCAAATTTGTCTTGGCACTCTGTAACACATTAAATTTGTAAGCATATGCAAAGATTTGAGTACTTCTAGAAGTAATTCCAACATCAGCAATAAGTTCCACTTACAGTCTCAAAGAATTTGATATTATATTCATCAGCAAGTGCTTGGCCCTTCGAGGTCGGAACAGCCTACAGAAAAAGGCTCCTGTTAATTCAATGTTTTAGACTGCTAAAGCCTAAGACAATTACAAAACACACAAGAACATATGCACATGTCAGAGAGAGAAGGAGCAGACCCTTTTGCTTTCGTCCATGTCAGCTTTGTTACCCACCAATATCTTATTGACATTGTCAGAAGCATGCTGCTCAATGTTGCGAATCCAATTCCTAATGTCTAAGCAGGAAAGAAGTCAGGTTCAATAAGAATCTAATATGAGAACTGGAAATATTCCATGCTGATGTATAAGGCTCAATCAACCAAAGGAAAATTCAATAACCAAGTGTACAATATATGCATCGTGAAAAGTAAGAAGGAGTACAGGATAAATTTCGTCAAAGAAAAGAAACAAACTGTCAAATAAGGTGGGATAATGATCCTTCCTTGGGCAAAATGAAGGCAACAGTTTTTTTAATTCCACGGGGAACAAAAATTACAAAATCCAAATCCTGAATGATAAGAGTGAAGGAAGAAATTACTGTTAAAAGAGGACTCATCAGTTACATCGTATACCAGCAAGATACCCATTGCCCCGCGGTAGTAAGCTGCATAAGAGGAGAGTCACAGAAAGGACATGATTTTTATATGCAGAGATACAGAACATATGACAAAAAATAATATATCAAAGTCAATCTGATTCTATAATTAAACATCAAATTTTAATTTATAAATTACACTAATGAATAACTACTTATGTGGCATACATATTTCATTCAACATACATGAATGGGTTCCAAACAAAGGGAAAAAGACTGCTCAAATAGTACTTCAAGTCAGGTTTAAGTAGGAAACAGGCCAAAATGATCTCTCCTCAAGTGTATATTATAATACCTATTTTTAACAACTCTCTTCACCAGAGCGGTATGGGGTCTGTGCAGGTCTATTTCAATCTGTCCTAATGAGAAATGGCACCCTGTCCAATTGTAATAATGACCAAGAACTTTATACTCCGAGATAAGTTAGTCACCCTTGGACCTACACTGGTAAAGGAATCAACATTTCTCCCAGTTCCAGACAGTTTTAGAGAAAAGATTCCTTAGACATTTTAGAAATATTTGAACATTATTCTGAAGAAAACATGAATAAATGAAATGCAATGCCTTAAAGCACTATTTTATTTTGTGTTTAAAATTAAAAAGGCAACATGATGCATTGGCCATATACCAGTAGTGATTGTTCGGAATCGCTCCTGACCAGCAGTATCCCATATTTGCAGTTTGATTCGTTTTCCATCAAGCTCTATGGTCCTTATCTTAAAATCAATTCTGCATATGAAGGAACAAGGTAGTGAGATCAGAAGCAGTTATGCGAAGAAACCAGAAAAGAAAAGCTGCATCACAGCACTTTAAGATTAAGATAAACCTACCCAATGGTTGTAATAAAACTAGTGGTGAAGGACCCATCTGAGAAACGCAAAAGGAGGCAGCTCTTACCCACACCTGGCAAATTAAGAAGACAAGAAAAATAAATATTATAAAATTTTGGATCCAAATTGAGCACGTAAAACCCAATCTTATAAGTTTTCACATCAAATAGTGAACAAGAAATATACCAGTCCTGAAATATATTAAGAACCCATCATTAATGCATGGTTATAAGTATTATTCATAAATCAGGACTTTCCCACCAGTTATGATCATGATGGATTCAGGACTTATGATTGCCACACATAGAAGGCAATTAAGCGAAAAATTGAATCTTTAGCAAATATCTTGTACTGGATGTCATACCATACAAGACTACAAGTAGCTTGTAAATTAAAGGAGGATTTATATACAAAGTCTTCCATGAAATCGTGAATTCTAGTAATGAAGGGGCTGCTGAGGAGTTGGGGGTTCTACTTATTCTAAAATCAGCAATTTGTTCTTCAATTCCTAAGACCCTTAGATTTTCTAGATATCTAAATTTTTTATACTCGCACACACAAAAGTTTATATATAATTTCTAATTACTAGAAAATTGAACATACAGCAATAATTCAAGGAAGAAAAAAAAAACTTATAGTTTCACAAATTTGTTTGCTTAAAGTCTTCAAGACTACTAATTCAATATTAAAAAATTTAGCGCATAGTTTTCAGGATTTTATCATATAGCAGTTTTATAAGAGGTTGGAAATTTAATCAACCAGACACAGTCTATGCCATGTAAGCCGCAGTACGGTTATAAATCTCACACTTTTTAAATTTATTTAATCTAGGAACAAACTTGAAATGAATAATTTCTTGGTGCAAAAGTAAAAGCTCAGACTGACAAGTGCTATGAATCTATGATGCATTTTAAGTATGAAAGAAACAACTTTGTGTAAAATAATATCAAATATTAGGTTTACATCCATCTTTACCCTCCTAGCACCCCAGGTTTGAATAACAAGGTTGGAAGCCACAAATATTGCAATTATAAATACAAATAAAGAACAAAAAATTGCACCCATAGTTCTCTTTTATCAAATTCCCTTTAGTATATCAAATAACTAGAATCCATCATTTTGTTGTGGGTGCACATGGTTCGGTTCGGTTTCAAGCTAAACCAAAACCAAACTGATCCCAACCGTTCCTAAAAAATTAGAACCAGAAACAGAATCGCTAAAACTATGGAACCAAACCGTAAAAGACCAGTTCGGTCCGGTTCTGATCCATGGTTCTGGACATACATATATGCATGTCCAAGAAATGAAACAATATTCAATCTCCAGGAAACATCAACTTGCTTGAATTCAATTAATTATTTAGACAGCATTTTTCCCTTCGGTCTGTTGGAGGTTATGGAAATGAAGATATAGCTGGACTTGTGACTAAGCATTCTAATAATCCTCTTGATCCTGAAAGGGTAATTCTTTATGAGACTGCTGAACGTGAAAGAGAGACTCTATTCAGTGATGTATGCATACATATAATCACCAATTGAATTGAAAAAGATTTGTGACTATAAACATTCTAAGAATCAATAAACCAAGCTACATATATTCAAACTTAGTGTTAACGGTTCAATTCGGTAACAATGAACCCCAAACCAAAACTGAACGTAACGTGACAGTTCTCTATTTTTGGAACCGGAACCAAACCATATGGTCCAATTTGGTTTGGAGTTTTTTGGGCACCCCTACGAAACACAATAGAAATTTTGACAAACAAACATGAAATTTCATATCGCAAACCCAAGAGTTAGAAAGCTAAAATTGTTGCAATGTGTGAATCTAAGGGGGTAAAAAAACAAAAGATCAAATGTCAATAACAGTCAAACTCACTAGTTAAAGAATAACTGGCAATTTCAAAGTTGCAATAGCTATTGAAACTTAATTTTGAAGCCAAACGATAACATAAAAAAGCATGGATAACAACATGAAAAAAGAGGATAAATTAAACTCACCTCCCCCAGACTTAATTACATGGACCTCCCCTGTTGATTCAAAAATCACACCGATCTTCCTGAGATTGGTACTTTCTCATAGATTCGTCCACAATTTTAATAGTCAACATAGTTAGGGGTTGGCAAAGTTTCACGAACAATCAACATGACTCGATCCCAAGATGGAATTGGCAGAATTTGGTTGACTTATCAAACCCAATTAACCCAATAAAATAAATAGTCTTGCTTGGTTTTAGGGACTCAATTCATTTAATCTGATTTGATTAGTTTGTCTAATCGTGTCATGATCATGTTAAGTCAACTTGAATCAACCCGCAATCTGTTTCAACCTATATAATAGATAATATATTTAAATTTGTATAGTATTACAATAAACCCTTATGTTATTTGTGTAATTTATTGAGAAAAATTGAATATGTTAGTCACTCTATTTGCAGTTTATAATTAAGAAAAAATAGTAAACAAATTATTAAATGAGGTATGGGTCGTGTTTTTGTTAAGGGTGCTTGACCACTTATCAACAGAAGTTAAGGGTGCTTAACCCACATAATAAAAGGGTCACACTCCCTATTAACATGAATTGTCACTCATGTACATAGTTAAAGGATGAAATATGCTTAGGTTAGTAAAATTAAATTTTGAAAGAGAAAAGTTTCCCTTGTCTTTTCACTTTAACTCTACTTTTTAACTAAAATAATAAAATAACGTTTGAGGACGAAAAGGAAAAATCACACTCCCTCCTAACGCTGTCCAATGAAAATGTCTAAAGATCAGTGTAAATTTTGAATCAACGGATGAGGCCGTGAGGTAAGTATAATATATCAGAAATAAAATGTTATTCAAGCAATAGAAGTTCAATGACACAATTTTAGCACAAAATGTCCAAATTTAATAAGTACCAAGTATAATTTATTCTCAAAAACAGAGTTATGAAGAGGGAAAAAACTAAAACAAATAGCAGTTCATAGACGGCATGCAAATATATAGACTATATAGTGTAATGCTATATTGTTTCAATCAAGGGTATGAGAACCTGTTTGTTTAAAGTGGCTCAACCTGGTACCAACCCATTTGTTGACAGGCATAAATGGGCTAAGTGACAATTGAGCAACGACCAAAAGGTCTCCATCTGCTAGCAAAAAGCAAGCAGATTTGGCAGCCCATGTGTTTGGATTGGGACAATCTCCGATGCCTAACGATATTAATTATTATAAAATTAACTAAAGAATAATTCCAATTGTAGCTAAACTATAAAAATGTGCATCTTACCTCAAACTCAAACTGGACAACATGTGCTTTGAAATAACTATAACATGAAATCGCATAAAAATTAGACCTCAACAACATTTTCTTTCATAAAAAAACTGAGTGTCACAAGACAAATCTGGAAAACAGCGTGCATATTCCGTCATTGTAATTGGAATAAAAAACCTTAATTTCCAAAAAGGAATTATAATTTAACATCAAGATCGCATATCAAGACCACATTGATTGATGTTATATCAATATTACATCAACAACATATAATATATAAGCATACATACATATATATACACATATGTATATATACTTACCACTGTCGCCTATCAATAGGAGCTTTATGAGGTAATCGTAATCGGCTCGAGCTCTAGCGGGTGGAGCGGCCATTTCAATATATCAGGTGATTACGAAGAATATAGAGAAAGAAACCCTAGAAACAGGTACTTCTCTGATTATACGCAATGAACAATACACGATTAAAAAAATAAAAAATTAAAGGTTAAATACATTTCTGATACATAAAATTAGTGTGAAAAACTAATATATATTTCGATGTGTTATATACACAAACCAGATCGGAGATTTGTGGGAGTTCTGATAGTAAATGGGGAAGAGAAAAAAGAGGAGGGAAGCGTCTCGGGTACGTCAGCACCGGTCGGCCGTTGAAAATATATTTAGAGAGGGAGAGAGATTGACATACGAGCGTTTACGAATGTTTGGGTGGTAATTGGTCCTAATCGTTGGATTGGTGTGCGCATTTAAATCCGTCTCATTCTTTGACACGTGGAAGACATCAGAAAACGCAAGCCCTTGATAACATGGACACAAAAGAACGACACCGTCTAGTGCCCTCTAAAGTCTAAACGACGCGGTCACTCCCATTGGTTTTCAGTCTCGTCAAATAGTCGGTACTAACCAAAGCGCCTTTGGTCCAAGATATAATCTCTCAATTCTTAAAGGAGAGGGGAGGGATTTGAGTCTCCACGTAAACCCAAAAAAAAAAAATATGTATGTATTTGCTTTATCATTTTAAAAAAAAATAAAAAATAGTCAGTACTAAATGAAATGGCATTAAAAGAGGCCAATGTTTTAATGCCCACATGAACTTTTATTAATACTAGAGTATCTTTTGTGTGTGTGTATATATATTTTGTTTGTAAATATGATGTATCAAAATAGATTTACACATAAATTTTGAATTATTTATTTTATATATTTTGTGTAAAAATATATTTCCAATAACAACTAACCAGTATTATGTCTGAATCCCACATAATTTTTACAAATCTACTTAAAATAAGTTTGATTCGTTAATGAAATTAAAATATGTTGATATGATTGTATAAAATACATAACAATTTTACACACTATTGACGTGATTGTATATCTTAACAGATTGTTGAAGATATAAAAAATTACACATCATAATATATTTTACTTTTAACAGACTGTTCTCTTTGGTTTTAACATAAAATTAGTGGGTCTTTTCTTTTGAAATTTCTTTGCACAGGTGGCATGATTTTATTGGATTAATAAGTTGTGAAAAGAATTAACAAACATGTGGTCTATTGGTAGGTACTCTTACTACAAAAGCAAACTGTGAATTAAAATTTGTTTTGAATTTCTATTTGCAAAATGTGTACAGTGTGCATAGGATTGGAGTTTTGAAATTAAAAATTGTAAAATTTTAAAAAAAATTTATTTCAATTTTTAAATTTTTTTTCAAATTCCACAAATTTTAATTCTAAGGTCCAATTCTATGAAGCTGAACACACCCATAACTTAAACTAGGGTGTTTTTTTTTTTTGCATTTGCCTAGTTAGTAAGTAAATAATAAGATTTAAATATAAATGATTTTTATCACTCATTAGGTGATACGAGGTCATGTGATTCTGACTTATTAAGAAATGACATGTAACTAAAGATATGACACATTTGATTACGTGGCGTCTCCTGATTAACCAAGAATTATGCAAATAATCTCGTAATATGCACAAAGTCTTGGACCACACTCTTGCACTCTTCTTTATTTTTAAGAAAATAAAATAAGGTTCAAAAGTACTTTCACAATCTATTATTATTCCAAAAACGAATTTCATACACTTCACTTATGAATTGGAATTCTACTATTGAAAAAAAGTAGAGCATTTGTACTTGTACCATAAATTGATCACAATCCATAATTATTCCAAAAACCAATTTCATACACTTCACTTATGAATTGGAATTCTACTATTGAAAAAAAGTATAGCATTTGTACTTGCCATAAATTGATGGGAAATGTCAAAACGCTTCTTTATGGATCTATTAATTATATCACACCCAATTTAGTTTTCGTCACGAATAGCATTGCTCGAACCGATTTATTAATTTGATTGGCTAATTTCTTTGTTGAAAATAGACTTGTCACACTTAAAAAGCATTCAATTTTCACCGACCACGTCCCTCTCTCGAAAGTATAATTGTGCATAAAATTCTCTGGACAGGGACATTTAATGCCTAGTAAGTCAGTCACGTGTATGAAATTATGATGAATACATGCTCTATCGCGTTGGGCTCCAATGTGGGCCTTCTATGCGGATGTTAAGCCTTAAATCTGATCCCACACTTTTTAGTACTAAGGGCCCCTTTAAAGCCTCATAAGAAGACCATGAGCTTCAAATACTTTTCTTTTTTTTTTTTTTCATCATGAGCTTCAAATTCATTCTCAAATATATTGATAAATCCCCAATATATATATATATATACTAGTAAAAGGCATGTGCGATACACGTGATGAATGTTTTGTAACGTATCAAAATTTTCTTTTCATATATTTTTTAATTATTTTATAGAAATTATTTTATTTTATTTATATATATCCTTGTCTAATTAGAGTTTCTTTTATTAAAAAAACTCATAATAAATAGGTAAATACAAAAGTTATATGTGATAAAGTTATATTTTAAAATCAATTAATAAATAGTTTTTATATTAAAAAATAAATACCGAAATACTAAAACTCTTTACACTTTAATATTTTATTTATATGTATTATTATATTATTATATATTTTCTTTAAATATATCATTGTCTAATGTGATAGAGTTTTATAGAAAATAAAATAGGTAATTTGTAGTAGAGTTTTATAAAATAATTTGTCATTTGTGGTAAAGTTTTATATAAATTAATTTATTTTCTTTAAATATATCCTTATCTAATTAGATTTCATTTTATTAAAAAACTTATAATAAATAGATAAATACAGGTTATATGTGATAGAGTTTTAAATAAAATAAAATAGTTAATTTGTGGTAGAGTTTAGGTAATTTGTATTAGTGTTTTATATAAACTATTTTAATATATCCTTATTTAATATGATAGAGTTTTATTGAAAGTAAAATAGGTAATTTGTGGTAGAATTTTATAAAAATTATTTATTTTCGTTAAATATACACATCCTTGTCTAATTATATTTTCTTTTATTAAAAAATTGTAATTTGTGTTAGAGTTTTAGAAAAATTATTTTATTTTTTATATCAATAAATAAATATTTTTTATACTAATAATTCTTGTATAATTATATTTTCTTTAATTAAAAAACTCATAATAAATAGATAAATCGGTAATTTGTGTTAGAGTTTTATATAAACTCTTTTAAAAATTTATTTTATATTCTTTAAATATATCATTGTCTCATTAGATTTCCTTTTATTAAAAAACTGATAACAAATATATAAATACAGGTTATATGTAATAGAGTTTTAAAGAAAATAAAATAGATAATTTGTGGTAGAGTTTTATAGATATTATTTTCTTTTCTGTAAATATATTCATAATAAATATATAAATACAGGTTATTTGTGGTAGCGTTTTATATAAATTAAAATAGCCAATTTGTGGTAGATTTTTATAAAAATTATTTTATTTTTTAAAATAGATTATTGTCTAATTAGATTTTACTATATTAAAAAAACTCATAATAAATATATAATGTGACAAAGTTTTATAGAAAATAAAACCGCTGATTTGTAATACATTTTATAGAAATTATTTTATTTTCTTTAAATATATTACTGTTTAATTATATTTTCTTTTATTAAAAACTCATAATAAATAGATAAATTAGTAATATCTGTTAGAGTAAATCTTTTAAAAACTCTTTTTATATCCATTAATAAATATTTTTTTATATTAATAATCCCTGTCTAATTAGATTACCATTTATTAAAAATAAATAAATAAATAAATAAAATTCAAAATAAAAAATGGTTTGTGGTAGAATTTTAGAAAAATTATCTTATTTTTTATATTAATTAATAAATATTTTTTATATTAATAATTCTTGGCTAATTAGATTTTATTTTATTAAAAACTCATAATAAATAAATAAATAGGTAATTTGTGTTCAAGTTTTATATAGAAACACTTTTAAAAACTCTTTTTCAATAAATTAATAAATATTTATTTATATTAATAATTCATGTCTAATTAGATTTCCTTTAATTAAAAAAACTCATAATAAATAGATAAATAGGTATATTGTGTAAGAGTTTTATAGAAACTCTTTTAAAACTTCTTTTTTATATCAATTAATAAATATTTTTTTATATTAATAATACTCGTAAAATTAGATTTCATTCTATTAAAAAAACTCATAATAAATAAATAAATTAGTAATTTGTGTTAAAGTTTTATAGAAACTCTTTAAATGTATTTTTGTCTAATGTTATAAAGTTTTATTAAAAAAAAAAAAGGTAATTTGTGGTAGATTTCCATAGAAATTATTTTAGTTTATTTAAATATATCATTGTCTGATTAGATTTATTTTTATTAAAAAATTATAATAAAAGGTAATTTGTTGAAGAATTTTAGAATAATTATTTTATTTTATATATCTATTAATAATTTTTTTATATTAATAATTCCTGTCTAATTAGATTTTCTTTTATTTTAACTCAAATTAATAAATAGATAAATAGGTTGATTTAAATTTTATTATGTAGATTTTAGAGTTTTATAGATTTTTTTTTTTTTACATAAAAACACTTTTCATATCAATTAATAAATATTTTTTATATAAATAAATAAATACTGAAACTCTTTACACCTTTAATAATAGTATGGATAAAATATCTTTTTATAAATATTTTATATTAATAATTCTTCTCTAATTAGATTTTATTTTATTAAAAATTTATAATAAATAAATAAATAGGTAATTTGTGTTAGAGTTTAATAGAAACTCTTTTAAGAACTCTTTTTATATCAATTAATAAATATTTTTTATATTAATAATTATTTTCAAATTATATTTCCTTTTATTAAAAAACTCATAATAAATAAATAAATATGTAATTTGTGTTAGAGTTTTATATAAACTCTTTTAAAACCTCTTTTTATATCAATTAATAAATAATTTTTTATATTATTAATATTTGTCTAATTAGATTTTCTTTTATTAAAAAATTCATAATAAATATAGAAGTAGGTAATTTGTGTTAGAGTTTTATAGAAACTCTTTAAATATATCTTTATCTAGTGTAATAAAGTTTTATTGAAAATAAAATTGGTAGTTGCTAATAGAGTTTTATAGAAATTATATAATTTCTTTAAATATATCCTTGTCTAATTAGATTTATTTTTATTAAGAAACTCATAATAAAAGCTAATTTGTGGTAGAGTTTTAGAAAAAATTATTTTAGTTTATATATCAATTAATAAGTATTGTTTATATTAATAATTCTTTTCTAATTAGATTTTCTTTTATTAAAAATTTGATAATAATAAATAGATAAATAGGTTAATTTAAATTTTATTAGGTAGATTTTAGAGTTTTATAGAGTTTTATTTTTTTTATAAAAACTCTTTTCATAGAAATTAATAAATATATATTTTATATCAAAAAACAAATATTAAAATTCTTTGCACATTTAATAGTAGTATAGATAAAAACTATTTTTAAATCAATTAATAAATTTGTTTTATATAAATAAATAAATACTAAAACGTTATATAAATAAATACTGAAACTCTTTGGCAGAGCTTCTATATTTTACTCTGGAATTAATAGGATGATGACATGTGTCCTCTCCTGATAATGACAAAATCATAACTGGGCCGGGCCGGTTATATTTTGATAATTATCTATAAAAAATAACTATTTTTTTATATTAATTAATAAATATTTTTATATATAAATACATAAATACTGAAACACTTTGCACATTTAATAATAGTATAGATAAAAACTCTTTTTATACCGATTAATAAATATTTTTTTATATAAATAAATAATACTAAAATGTTATATAAATACTATTTGGTAGAGATTCTGTATTTTACTCTAGAATTCCAGATTTATAAATTTCTCAATTTCTGTACCCCTTCATTCTTTCTCAATGCCTCTATTTATAGGCTTGTTGGATTAATAGGATGATGATACGTGTCATCTCCTGATAATAACATAATCATAACTGGACCGGACCGGTTATATATAACTATTTTTTATATCAATTAATAAATATTTTATTTATATAAATAAATAAATACTGAAATACTGAAACACTTTGCACATTTAATAATAGTATAGATATAAATATAAATATATATGTATGTCTGTATGTATATATATAGACACAATTTTTTACTCCTATAATTTTTTTTTTCATAACTTGTCAAGAAATTCACATAATTACTTTATCTCTATGGATCTTAAGGCTTCATTCTTCTATTTTTAAAGGTGAAGAAAAAACACTAAATTATTATTTTTTTTCTTTTTCTTATGGTGAAGGGACCAATATCTCTTCCCCCTTGAAAGGGTATGTTGTGCATGGTATTGTGCACTGCAATTTCATCATTTTGGTATAGGATACAAATTTTTTTTTTTTTTAATTGATACTCAAACACTTGTCTCTTTTGAGACTTAAATTCTGACCTTCATTTGAAAGATGAGAGGCTGATACCCTAAGCCAGTGACCCGTTAATGTGTAAAATGAGCCACTCGAAATTCTAACACATAGTCTACATTATGCTGTTGTAAATTTTAGTATTTAAAAATAATATTACTTTATTATTATTTCTATATTTTCCTGAGAGACCAAGTCGTGTACGAGTCTATTAGTCATTGTACAAGTTTACACGACTAGGGTTCTATTGTGCGCTTCTCACTGAAAATCTTCCTGTAGCTTCTAACACTATCTTTCAACACACGCCACATAAAAAAATACACAACTTTCACTCCTGCCTATACTCTTAATCCTTCTTAATTCTTTCAAATATTATATTACCAAGAATGTTCATTCCAAATACTATCAGTGTTTGAGTGTTCTGTCCAATGTTATTTTGAGGGCTCCATTCATCGAAGGAACAAATTGAAATTGTTCTACTTCATCTACGTTTGCAGTAAATTTTTGTTATTGTATTTTGAGGGTGGAACGTCTCTGTTATACCGAGATATCGTCTCAAAGTGACGAATTTATTCTTAAAAACAGTGCATTCACACTCTTGAATTAAGTACTCCGTTCTAATCGTATATTTATTTTTCTGTTAATTCCTAAAATATATGATGAGTTGTACATGTAGCACACATAAGTAGATAAACGAGATGATAGTTCAAAGTAAAAATTTTCAATTTGTGATTTAATGTTTATTAGAATAAGAAATCGTATGATCTAACAAAATTAAAATGTATCAAATATGAAAAAGATCATAAAAATTAAAGGATCTCCTTATATGAAGTAACAAAAAGAATTTTTATGTTGCAAAAATGTCTCACATATGAAAAGGCTCATACTATTAAAGAAAGAATCTCCATGAATAGCTTTTTCGTTTTCCTGTCTTTTGAAAAGTAGAATAATACACAAGTATAAGTCACTTAAAATATTGCATGGGAATACTTCAAGTGTTATGCGGTGCAATATTTTAACAACTTTATACTCTCTCACACACACACACACAAACACAGTCGGTTCACCCACTTTAAAGTTTAAACAATTCCTTTCAATGTATTCGATCCCAAGTGAGAGTTGTCTTAATTTTTTTATTATTTTTATTTTTATTTTTGGGCAACAAATAAAATACTATTTTTCTCATCAGATTGAATACCAAGTTGCTTCACCGAATTATATGCATACATACATACATTGATATATATATATGTATGTATGTATGACATTCCAAATCAATCTTCCTAGAAGCAACATCGGCCAGTCAACGCTGTCCAAGTCAATTAGAATAAATAAGTTGAAACAGTCCATACCATGGCCTTTGGAGTTGGCCCTTTGATTTCCTTCAAAGTTAACATTTGGAGACTGGTAGGTTCATAAAAGTTAAACCAGCCTTAGGTATATATGGTGGTGGTGCCACTCATTTACACATCTCAACTTATCACCTGCCAGAAGATAACCCTTGTGTGGATCCACGTTGCTTCAATTCCAAGCTGCCAACTCAGCCCAACTCTTTTGCAACTCACATTATCTCCACCGTAACTCATTTCCCTATATTTCTTGGGTAAATATTAGGTGTCACATGTATTTATTTATCAAATATATATATATATATATAAAAACTTAGCTTCTATCAAATTTTATTTGATTTTATCAAGTGAGACCTGTCATGAATCAGAGTGATAATACTTGGGCTTAATTGTCTGGCCTCGGTTTTTATTTATTTGATGTAGGAGAGAAACTCGAGTATGGATTTTATTTACTAACATCAATGACTAAAAATACTTAGGTTACTCAAATTAGCCTAAGAAACAGGTTTTAAGATATCCTCTTGAAGTCAGAAGATGCTAAATGGAATGTGAGTAAAGATATAAATTCCATCACACGATATTTTAAATGATGCCATATAATGCAACTCATGCTTTCACTCATGTACCTGACGACTGGCCTCATTTTTATTTTACCAAAGAAAATCAAAATCATGTACCATTTCAACACCCCCAAGCAATATGATGAGATAAGTGCGTCTTAAAAAAAATAAAAAATAAAAACTATGATTAAAAAATAGGGGTAATATAAAACTACAAGTTTCAAATGTTATAATTGCATCAAAGGGTATATTCTAGTGGGGTCTTTGAGTAAAAGTTTTGAGTCTACACAAGCTAAATGAGTATGTAAATTATTTATTTATTTATTTTTTGTTTTTGAATTGTCAGTATGTGAATTTCGTGCTAATGAAAATAAATTATAAGATAAAATTTGTGTTATTTGAGTAATTGGATTGCTTCTCAAAGAATCTGTGTTTGAGCTTGTACCCTCCTCCCTCTAACTGTTAAGTCTTAACATTTTTACCATAAAAAAGTAAAATAAAATAAAAAAAATTATAAGTGAAATAATAATAATAATAATAAATAAATAAAAAAGGTATGTAAATACCAATTAAGAAAATAATAATAATAAATGAAAAAAGTATGTGCATAAAACAAATTGAAATAATAATTATAATAATAATCACAATGGCAATATACATCGGAAGGGGTCCCATAGGATCGAAGCATATGAATTTTTCTCCCCCCATTCCTCACGGTTTAGTACGTAACCGAGACTTCTCACCGTCCGTTTCAATAACGCAAGTTGAAGAGAGTACCGCACGACCGTTAGCTATTCCGTCTCCGTCCCAATCGGGTCCACTAGACTCACCAATCCTCCCTACTCTGGCCAATGAATTTTTAACACGTCTCTTACCAAAAACTGGTTTCACGTAATATTCGTTTTTTTTAAAGAATCTAAATTGATTCCAAATGCCAATTCACAGAGAGAAACGTCAAGACTTTTTTCCGCCTTTAAAGGGGAAGCTACTAAAGCAGAGCGGGAACGCGTACACCACCATAGCTCCAGCCCTTACTTGAGCGCCTCTTCCAGGTTTCTCTCTCTAAACTTCTCTTTTCGATACATCTGTTTCTCTCTCTATATTATACATATATCTATACATATATTAATCATTCACTTGCTTTCATTTGTATCTTCTCTCTCGTCTCGAGATCTGAGCTTTTCCTTTCAGTCTTTGTTTTGAAGAAGGTCTTCGTTCGGCTTCGTTCAGAGCTTCGATCGTTTGAGGTACGTTTCAACTTCGTTTGCAAAGTAGTAGATCGATTTTACTGAGCTTTCTAGTTTTCATTTCGAGTTCGATCGTCCGATTTGACGCTGTTTTGTATGTATAGGCATATATATATATATACACGAATGTTTATAGGTATATGAATTTATGTATGTTTGTACTTGTGAATCGTTCGAATTTCATTTTTTCATGTTCGACTGTGAGATCAGTTGAGTTGATGGCGGTTTTTGAGGAAATTACTTCTGATGTAATGTAACTAATTGAAATTTGTGTCTCCTTACGAATGCTTTGGAAGTGTTGATTAAATAGTTGGAGACAATTCAAATTCGTCAGAGTACTACAGTTGTTCATATTTAGATTATAAATTTGTGCATACCCATTGAAGAACCAAGTGTATTGCGACACAGGAAAGAAGATTGAAGTCGATGCGTTTCAATTTTAACCTATACAGTGGTATTTTGGCCAACCTTTACCCTGTCCATTTACTATGAGCGCTTTTCACATCTTCACTGGAGAAATGTTTTGAGAAATTAGGTTGTTCCATGAAATGTTTGACATCGATTTTACTTCTTCATCTCTCTGTGTGTGTTATATGTATCATGTATGTGTGTGTGTGTATATAAATATACACTCAAGAGTCTTGAGGACAAGTTGGACAGTTACCATCTAGATTATCCATAGATCTAAATGGAACATGCTAGAAAGTGTTTGTTGTCTCTTCCCCCTTTACATATCAAATTAAATGGACTGCATGTTAGGGATTACATTATGTAATGTCATGTTAAGCTCCACAATAATGTGATCCAGCTTTTTTATGCTTTTACACTGTTTGGGATAATTGTTGTTGCTTCATTCTTGTTGTGCTATTACACATTGTTTAAGTGCCCTGAAATATTGATCAACAAAACAAAGTTTGAATACTCAAAATCTTGAGGAATTTCCATGAATCAAAGTTTAGATGTGGGGAACTCCTTATTTTTATTTAGGGTTAAAATCAAAATATCCCCTTCGATGAAAAATTTGAGTCATTTAAACCCCTTGTACAATGTTTTTGTCAAATAAATACATGAACTTGTGAAGGATGTATCAAATGACCCCCTTCCCGTTAATTTGATGTTAAAAAGTTGCAAAAAAAAAAGTGTTTAAAGAAGAACATTTGCCACATCTTTTGCATTTAATTACCAAAATGCCATTTTGAGAACGAAAACTACATTTGCCAATTGCATACATATAAAATCAGTCAAAAGTCAAAACCTATATTCCACCATAACGCCAAAGGCCATGTTTTTATTTCATTTAATGGTGTGAATCTGTGATTGGTGCAAGAGGGATTGCATTATGGATTGCATGTTAGGGATTACATTATGTAATCTCTTACTAAGCTCCACATTAATGTGATCCAACTTTATTATGCTTTTACACTGTTTGGATACTCGATGCTGGTTATCCTTGTTATGCTTATTACACATTGTTTAAATGCCCTGAAGTCTTGATCAACATAACAAAGTTTGAAAACTCAAAATCTTAGGAATTTGTAATAGTTCTTATTATGCATGAATCAAAAGTTTAGATGCAGGGAACTCATTATTTTTATTTAGAGATAAAATCAAAATACCCTTATCTTCATTAAATTTGTGTCATATAACCCTCTGTACAATATTTTTTTCAAATATGTACCTGAACCTGTGAAAGATGTATCATATGACACCCTTCCCGTTAATTTGATGTTAAAAAGTAACAAAAGAGTGTCTAAAGAAGAACATTTGCCACATCTTTTGCATTTAAAAACCAAAATGCCCTTTTGAGAGCAAAACTACATTTCCAACTGCATACACATAAAATCAGTGAAAAGTCGAAACCCATTTTCCACCGTAACGCCCAAACCCATGCTTTTAGTTAATTGCTCTGGTAAAGGTCAATTTCATCTCTCTCTCTCTCTTCCCCCTCTTGCACCAATCACACCATTAAAACGGAGGCCTTGCTGCACTTGCTTCCCATCCGGTTTTTCACAGCCATAGAGACTCCAAAACTCTCTCTCTCTCTCTTTTATATACTGGGACTATTTTTCCTTTTGAAGAGAGAGGTTTACTCATCAAAATAAAATTATTAGCTCTTAGTCATTTCTTGCCCAGTTTCTAGTTTTTTCCTATTAAGTTTTATCTTCTCCAACTATGCCTTCTTATTTTTCCCAATTGCAAGGCGTGGCTCTGAATCTGGCTGGGACAGCAAACTTTTAGAACAAAAAATTGTCCCATATTAATCCATTATGTGTTTCTGACAGCGGAAGCGCCATCCCTTCGAGTGAAAGGTTAGTGAGTCAGAGAGATTTGCTTTAATATGAAGTTGAGAGTGAGGGTAGTTTAAACCACGCTGATTCATATGTTGGGTTATTTTTTGTTGCTTATTTTATTTAAATTGAATAGAGCATAATGGTCATTTTATATTACTATTAGTGGTTCTTTCAGAATTGTACTACTTTTGATCATTTTTTTTTATAGTTTAGGGGCTTATATGACCTTTGAGGAGGGTTATATTAAAAACATGTATATAGTTCAAATGGTTTTATGATTTCAATTTTTAACCCTTTTATTTGTTCCATCCCAAATCAAACTTTCATTTACACACACACACACACACACATATAATTATGTTTAGTTTCTGACTCTATGCATTTGTATTGCCAAAGTGGGAAAAGGACAAGTCATATTTCAGGTTCTTGCAGTTGTAAATCTTTTGAGTTGAGAAATAATTTTTTCCATGCAATTTGAAGCTGTATGATGGAGCATTGTGCTCGTGTTAGGCATTAGCACAGGTATTTTATTAGATTACTGTAAAAAGGGAGCGGTGGAAGGGAACAAAGAGGAAAAGATAGAATTGGGAGAGAGTGTCTCATCCCATTAAACTGTTTTTTGTACACTCATACCCCTTATGGGGACTGTCAAATCTCTTGGTGCTAGAGCAGCATGTTGGATGGGACATGTAAAATGTTAACTAGCAGTTTCTGATCTTATTTGTTTATTTAGTTGTACTTTGCATGCTATCTTGAAGTCTGTCACTGTTGAAAGTTCGATTGAAATTTTTAGTTCTCACATGGTCTCGTTGTCTAATTTTCTGTGAAATATATGCTCTGCAGAAATCTCATTCAAAATTGGAACTTGGATGTGTTATAGTACTTCATCCAATAATATTTCTCAATAATTTCATGAAAATGTATCACTGGTTCTAATTTTGAAAAAGGGTCTTATTTTGTATTTATTGTCATTGCATTTGCAGCTTGCAATCATGACTCCACCTATTGAGACTACAGAAAAGAAGGTTTCCGACTCTCATCACTCTTCACATCCACCTCTTAATGAAAGAATTATTTCATCAATGACCAGGAGATCAGTTGCAGCACATCCTTGGCATGATCTTGAGATAGGTACGTAATTTTGTCATAAACCATGGATAGTGAATTCCGGCATATACCTCTCTGCCTTCCAATTGATTGATGTGTAACTTTCTTATAATTGAACGCAGGACCTGGAGCCCCGACAGTGTTCAACTGTGTAAGTATACAAACTTTGTAACATCAAAGTGCTAATGGACTAGTTTAGTTTGCATGAAGATCTGTTTGTGCTGGCATATTTAACTAATTGTAAAACAATGGCTGAAGTTGAAAAATGCTGTCATTAGTGATTGTTGAAACAATGCCTTAACCAAATTCAATATATGAATCTTATAATAAATATATGGTCAATAAATTTTTGAGTTGCCTAAGGTCATGTCAAAGTAAGCTGGACTTGCATCTGATGATCTACACTGTACTTTTGATTTGCACATCTTATTATGGAAATTTGATGATTGTGGTACTATATAATTACTATCCCATGGTCGCTTGTATTAGTTTTGGATGGTAATATATTTTTTATTGATATTTGATTCTTAAGAAAATACTTGGACATACTTCTAAAGTATCTTACCAATCTTGTGTAATGTAGTACATGAGGTCCTGCAGTACATAGTGGGAGCATGTAGAATGCAGTTTAGCAATTGAATACCTTTAACCATCTGATCTATAGCATTTCCTTGAATGGTTGTATTTGTCTTGGTCTGTTTTTGGCTTGAGATAATTTTGTACCATGTCCGTGCAAATATAACATTGGCAGTGATCTGATCATGTACTCAGTGAGATGCTTGCTTTTTTTTTTTCTCCCCCAGATGCTGGCTTGGGTTAATGGTCGATAGGTTACTTTGGACAATTAGAAGAACTGCATTTTTTATCATAACTACAACCATCAGTTTTCATGTGTTTTTATAATATTTTCTATTAATTTTATTCTCTAGTCACTAGTCAGTAACCTTTTCAATGTCACGTTTGCTGAAAGGCTCCATGGAACTGCTTGAATCTATTGATTTGCAGAGAACACAGAATTTTTGCTTTCTGCACAACCTGACATGATATATTCCTAGGCAATGTATGCTTTGATACACCAAACCGTTCTTTCTATCGCATCTTATAAGCACATAATCTGAACAAATAGTTGGTGATCTGTTAGCACAAATTCATCAATTTTCAATATGAATTTCAATCTCATTGATTAAATATAAATTTGCATTTTAATTTTATTCCAGATGCCCCCTTTTGGAATGCAACTGTTCTAATTTTGAGCTGTCGAAGTTGAATAAATATTTTCCAAGAAGAATGTCACAAATATTACACCTATGAATAAATAGTGAAATATCTAGCATTTTCACTGGACAAAAACCTTGTTTATTTTTGCAGGTGGTTGAAATTGCTAAGGGCAGTAAAGTGAAGTATGAACTTGACAAAAAAACTGGACTGATCAAGGTAATCAAGCATGCTGATTCCCGAGTCAATTACCTTGAAATTGTATGTTGATTCATCACAGGTTGCTAAAATCTATGTGAGTGTGCAGGTTGATCGTGTACTTTACTCATCAGTTGTGTACCCTCATAACTATGGATTCATCCCTCGTACTCTTTGTGAGGACAGTGACCCCCTGGATGTCTTGATTATCATGCAGGTATGCTGTTTGATGTACATTTCTCACACTTGCACATTTTTTGCAGATTATGCATACATATGTATAGGCATTGTTGGTTATGATCTAATGGGCGCATTCAAAGACTTACTACAAATAAATTTTGCAAGGAATGTTTCACACATATATAGCTTGTAATGTGCAACTAGTTTTCAACACAAGGTCTCAAAACTCTCAATCTTTGGGACTTTTAGAAAACACCTAGGTACCGAGAAAGAGGTATTTGGGTCTGTTTCTTGTTAAATGTATTCTGAGCTTCTCTTTGGTGTGTTTTAAGTGATGTATGAACCCAAAGTCCTAAAATCCCATCTCATTTAGTAGTGGCCATGATGGGCTGTTTTAAAACTCAAAACACAATATGAAATTAATTGAAACTTTGAATAATTAAAGCAGTAAAACAAAAGTGGAAATCCCCTGTAAAAATAACACATCATATTTAATTCTTACTGCTCTCTAATTAATTGGATGTTCAACAACAGAGTTGTGAATGAATTAAGATATCTTGTTATCTTTCAAGGATTTCATTGTATCAAGTTGTACCAAATTATCTACTTACGGTATAAAAAATAAAAATAATAAAAATGTTATGCCAAATTATCGAATTTCATGCATTCCAAATGAGTTGTGTGATTTTGGCAAAACCTGCAGTTTGTATTTGAACTTTGAACCAACATTCAGCGCAGAGGATGACCACCCTATGTTTTGCCTTGTGTTCCAACAATCAAGCATTGGAAATTATTGTCAACACAGTGATCTGGCCCACCTATTAGACGAGCGGTATGCTGGCTACTTAGTTTTCTTAATCTTCCAAGGACAGTGTTGGAGGCTTAGGACCTTTAACAGAGTAAATCGGAGGTTCTGTTCCACTTTTGTGACTGCAATATACTGTTTAGGCCATCTTGCTTGACAATATTATAAGCCATTGGCACATGAGGACTGGATCGGCCAATAGTTATTCATACATCTTTACCTTTTCTGAGTGTTAATTGTTTTTGAATGTTTTAGTTCTAAGACAATGTCATAAGAGGAGAGTCTCAGCTACTGATACTTGCAAGCCTTTACAAACATATACAGGAACCGGTTCTTCCAGGATGCTTTCTTAGGGCTAAAGCAATCGGCCTCATGCCCATGATTGATCAGGTATATATGCCCCAACAAAAATTATGTTTTTTTATCCTTATCTGTCAACTAGTAATAACCGCGGGGGCAACATAGGGTGAAAAAGATGACAAGATAATTGCTGTCTGTGCTGATGATCCCGAGTATCGACACTACAATGATATTAAGGAACTCCCTCCACATCGCTTGGCTGAGATCCACCGCTTCTTTGAAGACTGTATCCTTCTAAAAGTTATTTACTCTGCATGAAATATATACATTTTTACAGTTTTTACTTCTTTTTTCATGACTGCAGAATTGAAGAATAAGTAAATTATTTTTCTTAACAAATAATCAGACAAGAAAAATGAGAACAAGGAAGTTGTAGTGAATGATTTTTTGCCATCCACAGAGGCCTATGAAGTAATCCAGCATTCCATGTAAGTGATAATTCTTTCCCTCATTTTTGCTCACATCACAGCATCATAAAAATCATGTGAATTGCTGAATTACTAGTAAGCAGCGATGGTTGACCCATCGTTTTAGGACTGGTTTACAGGTCCAATCCTGACTTTAATTTTCTCAACTGTTCTTTCTTTTGGACCACATTTTGTGAAGAATCAGTCTCGAGTCATGTATTTAGTCATCTGCCCACGGACAACACACAATCAACACGATTACTGATCAACTTTTAAGGAGTTTTCTTGAACTTGTAATTTTGCTTATCAGTAATCGTGCTTGCATGGATTGTGTGGTCTTAAATCTCACTGTGTATTTTACTTCTACTGTGAAGGAATCTCTACGCAGACTACATTGTGGAGAGCTTGAGGCGGTAGTTTGTGTGCCAATCGCGCCACACAATTTGGATGGACTTTTGCGATCAGTTGAATATTGTGGAGTTGCTGTATTACAAGTCTTTTTCATTTATCTTACTGCATTTGCACACATTGGGTCTTCTACTGATGCGTGCTTGTAGTACATTTTCCGTCGAATTGTTTCTTATATGGTTGATGATGGCGAAAAGAACTCTGCATGTAAGGAGCTTATAGCACTCATGCTTATATTACATGTTCTAATGAATTGTTATATTTTTCCTCCCTTACTTTGCTTCTTTTTTATTAACTTGCTTTGTGAGTTTACAAATTGGATTTAGTAAGATTAGTACTTTCTCAGTGGCTATTTTCTTCTCAAAATCAATTGCTTTTAAGTAGGTTTGGCTCATATCTTTCTCCAAACTGGACTCACTGCTTTTACTGATATCAAAAGTTTGGGACGGAACTTAGATTTACACTACGTATTTACATCCTTCGGCAGTTTGCATATTCAATTTGGTTGTTCTGTTTACAAATTTATGAGAAAACAGAAGCGCAATATAAAGAAAATCATTTGGAGTTATAATGGAAAAGAAGGGGATAAAAGATGATAATTATAAGAATTTTTGTTTTCAACTAATTATTATACTTCATCCTCCATGGAGATAGAAAGCCTCTCTACTCTCTTGTGGTGTAAACTTGAACACTTGGCTTAGAGGAGAATTTGAACACTCAACTTAGAGGAGATATCTATTTGAAAAAACTCCGCATTACTTGTATGTCGTGGAGTTTACTCTTAACTGTGTATTAAACACAATGGGGAACGTTTCTTTGTTTTTTCATTTCTACAATTATTAAATTTTCCCCCACGAAAAACCAACAAATCTGGGATGCAAGTACCTAGTTGGTTTTAGGTTTTAGCCTTTTTAGGATTGTCGGCTTTACAGGAGGCTAGCTGTCAAGCATACTTGGAAAGAATAATATGAACAAAAGGACCATTAAGTGCATCAACCATTAGAAAATGCACTCGCAACAGTCCCGTTGGTCACTAATTGAACAAGTCTGGGTCACTCCACTTTCTAATGCGTGATTTCCATCCGTTAAAGTTAATTCATGTTAAGTCACATTAAGCAATTGGAAGTCATTTTCAATTCACAGTGGGTGATGGAAAGTGGACAATTTCAAAATCTAAGCACCTCAGATCCTTCAACAATAATAACAGCCGGACCAGCCCGATCACTTGACATTATCTTGAGCTGACATTAGTAGTCTGTATGGCACTAAGGTTCTAGAGTTGTGTAGCATTATCTATACTTGTGGTATATACTTGTATAGAACACTCTAAATTATAGACTTCACTTTAATGTAACCCAATTTGGCAACGCCCCGAGTATAAATAGGGTGGGAGGTCTTTAAAGCATTCTCCAAGAGAAATGTAAGCTACGCTCACTCAAACTCTGTCACTTGTCAACTTCTCTTACTCAATTTGAGCTTAAATTATCTAAAAAAGAAAAAGTTAATTCTTAAAAACAAGTGGCATCATCTTAGGTCAATCATGTGCATTAAATTAAATCTTTTATCCAAAAAGGGTCTTGAATTAAGAAAAAAATTAATTCCAGCCATTAAACAATTAACTGTATGCAAAAAGGGTCTTCAATTAAGAAAGAAATTAATTCCTAACAAAACTGAAATTGTCCTACAGAAACATAGAGATGTCGTTCAGGTACACAATTAACTGTATGCAAAAAGGGTCTTCAATTAAGAAAGAAATTAATTCCTAACAAAACTGAAATTGTCCTACAGAAACATAGAGATGTCGTTCAGGTACTTGATTCTGCATAATAATATGCAATAATTACGGATCGATCATGTAAAAGCTTACTAATAAAAGAAGCCAAGAACTTTGCCACCCACGTTCTTCCTCCTAGCCTCTTCATGGTCCATGATGCCGGCAGAGGTTGTCAGCACAATGTATCCAAACTGCATATTTCAACCATTTGTTACTCACAAAGCCATGCTCAAGAGTAACCCTTGACAAACTTTTCACAAACATAATTTACTCCATAAACAATTCCATTCTACCAGGGGTGGGTTTTCTTTAAGAATAAAGATTCTAAAGCCTTGCATGCTAACCTGTCTTGAGGGAAGCAGCCTAGTGGTCCAGGGTTCAATCTCCTTGACACCAGCATCAAAGCGTGGGCTAATGACCCCACACTTGTTCAACCTTCCATTCAGTTCAACCATAACCTGTCGCTTTCCCCGCTTCTCCACATTGTACATGCTCTTTAGAGCATCATTCAAGACACTGACCCTCACCATCCTGGCAAATGCAGATTGCTGCAAGGACTACAGCAGCCGCCAAACAAAGAAAAAATAGTAAGCAAAGCAAAACAAATACTAAAAGTCACTTGATGGGCCATCCATTATACGAGAAAAACTTCATTGCGACTGCGACCGTTGCACTGTGCAACGGGCGCATCCGAACCGTCCGTGTAATACACGCGCCAACGGTTGGATGTGCCCGTTGCACGGCGCAATGAAGTTTTTCTCCCATTCATTATACAAGCATATATGCAGGAATTTCAGATAAGAATAAATTTGATTAGATAAACCCAATAATAACATAACTAGGTGATTCGGTAAATTATAGACAATTAATTAATAGCATGACTTCATCCGTGTTACATGGACTCTCATATCTCCCTCCACGTACCTATGTCAACATAACATGGATATGTGTATGAGAAATGTGTCCACCATACCGTACGGTAGAACATGGATATGTGTAGGAGAAATGCGTCCACAATACGGTACAACATGGATATGTGTATGAGAAACGTGTCCACCATACGGTACAACATAGCAATAACTTTTCTTCAGATGAAAAGAAAAATGTATCTAAAAAACGATAATTTTGAAGTATGATATCATATTGATCAATCATCATTTATAATTTGAAACTCAAACCCAAATCGAACTTAAAACCCCAATTTCTTTACCACAAAACAATTGAATCCAATAGAATGAAGAGCTTTATTTAGCAACATAAATCAAATGTGCAATGCATTCACTATGTCAAGTGTATTATCTTTTACAACAACATTTCATCTACTTTCATTTTTTTCATAATTATTGTTCTCTTGAAACCATAATGATTGGAAAATGGCATAAGAAATTTTATGTTGATGTATTAAAAGAGTATCTTCAAAATGTATTGTTCCAGTATCAGTATTTGAACTTCCAAGTATTGTCCCCAATCAAAAGAACAAATATAAGTTTTTTTTTTTTTTTTTCATAATGGTATTGACAATCACAACAGGTGATCCAGACAAGTACGATTCCAATGCATGGCTATATAGTATATATACATCAGCTTGAATATATTCAATTCAGAAAAATAAATACACTTCACAGAGAGTGCGCGCGCGAGCACACACACGTGTGTGTGTGCGCACATTTGCAAAACTCTCTCTCTCTCTCTGCGCCTTAAGGATGACTGAGATCGTACCTCAAAGTTCCTCGATTACGGTCGCTCCTGTGCGGAAGAACAACAAAACGATTCAGAGATCACTGAATAGGGTTTGGGGGCCTTTTGGTTTCGAGTATTGACCAAAAATCTCAAAATGACGAAATTACCCAAATACATTTCTTTTTTCAGAAATTATTATTATTTTTTATTTTGTTGTGTCTACCCAATTGCATCAGTTTAATCTTTGGTTTATCAAACTAAAAACAAAATTTCAGTACTCATAAGTTATCAACATTTATGACCTATCAGACTAATTGCATTCGTTATATGACCGGGACGGAATAAATGAAAAAGAAAGAAAAAAAAAGATAAATAAATAAATAATTAAAAGTAGGGATGCCATGTTTTTATAGTCTAAAATCGAGGATAAAATATGAGAGAGAGAAAAAAAAAAAAAAAAAAAAACTATCCTATGAATATATAATATTAATTTTCTTCAATTATTTACAATATCGGCTATTGAAATTCTCTCACACAGTCAAAATACTAATAATAATGAGTGTATATTGGTAAAAAAAAAAAAAAAAAAAAAATTATAAAACACTCCTCTTATTCCATTCAACGAAAAAATATATAAAAAAGGGATAATTCCATAAAAATGAAATTTTGTAGGTAAAGACCAAAAAGATGAAGTCAAACTTTCATATTTCAAATAAAAGGAGTTTTATGAAAGACTGTGGTGGACATAGAAATGTATTGCGAAAAGACCCAACTACCCTCTCTCTTTTCATCTCTCTTTGTGATTGCTTGCCCTTTCAGTCAAAGCTTTCTTTGCCTGTCTTTATAAATCTCTTCATACTTGAAAATTTATGATAAACTGAGTTAAAAGCAATGATGATGGCGACGATGGAGTGTTCTTATCGGCGACAAGCAAGGATTATAAGCAAGGATTAAGCAAGATAGGGGTTGTACTATTTGTCCAGCTTGGAGATGATCATATACCATAAAAAAAGCTTTTCTGTAAATGTTTGCTTTTATTAGTAAATTACAAACATAAAAAGTGTTGTTACTTTCTTCTATCTATTAATTTTCCAACCTCTCACCTTCTTTTCATTTTCAACACCAGTGGTGTGTGTTTCTTGGAGATCTGATGACCAAATCAAATTATGACAAATGAATCACAAAATTCAATTTAAAATCAACAAAATCAAATCCATATACAACTAAATATTTGGCAGTCCATAAATATAGTTCGTACAATAACTGGATATGTATAAATAAAAAGGTGAAACAACTAATCGAGAGAGATAGTACTGTATATTCATTTTCTCTAATCGAGAAAGATGGGAGTATTATACACACTACCCACCGACCCAACTATTGCAAACATATCAAAAACACATGGCACGTCTCTCTCTCCATCACCGTTCCTGACAACATCTCATGCGACCACACCCATGCTGTTGGACCCAACCATGCTGCATCGCCGTTGTCCAGACCAAGCTCAGACTCGCGTCTCACTGGTAAGTTCAATCCTTGCTTGTCGCTGGTAAGAACACTCCATCGTCGTTATCATCATTGCTCTTGACTCAGTTCATCATAAAACTTTCAAGTATGAAGAGATTTATAAAGACAGGCAAATGAAGCTTTGACTAAAAGAGCAGATAATCACAAAGAAATACGAAGAGATAGAAAGGGTAGTTGGGTCATTTCGCAATAAGTTTCTATGCCCACCTCAGTATTTCATAAAACTCCATTTATTTGGAAAATAGAAGTTTGACTCTATCTTTTTGGCCTTTGACCTACAAAACTCTATTTTTATGAAATTATCCCTATAAAAAATGTGTCTTGATTATCTATTTATTTATTTTTTTTAATTGACAAAAACACGTACAGTTACTTATTTTTACGAGAACTTAAACCATTATCATGTGATCGACTATCATTCATGTTTGTCATTCATAACCAAGATTTTACAAGACGGAAACGTGTGTTTGGAGGGAAAAGAAAATGTCAAAATACCTCTCATGCAGTGCAATGGTGAAAATGATATTTTACTTTTAATTTTATTTTTTACTTTTCTTACCCTTTAAAGAAAGTAATAATATAATTATCGTTTAAAAAAATACATTCACAATCACAATTATTAAAAAAAAAAAAAAAAAAAAAAAATTTCTTATCTTCAGCTATAAGATATTAAAAAAAGTAAAATATTATAATAGATTACAAGTTAAGAAAAGTAGTCACCTCTGAAGTTATCGAATTACATGCCACGCCACGGTCTTTGACTAATTAGAATCTCTTTTTCTTTTTAAAGTAAAGATAAAAGGTTCTCATCTTTTAGAAAACATTGAAAAATTTCTTTGCCAGAAAAAGAAAAAGAAAAAGAAACCAAATTACATGCTAATAAATTTTATAATGCCAATTGAAAACTATTCTTATACTAAAACATTTGTAATATAAAAAGTTAGATGGTGGCTTAATATGATAAATAAACAAGATTTCAGATTGGCGAGGCACTCTTTTAGGTATTAAAATAAAATTAATTATTAAATTTGATATCTCCTAGAAAAAGCCACATGAAAATACAATTTAAATATATATACACGTGTGTGCGCGCGCGCCAATGATAGAGTCAAAATAGCGACAATTCCACTTCAAATAGCATTTTCACGGGTGACTTGGATAGGATATACACCAACTCCTCCAAATATAAATATTGTATTTAAGAGCACTCAATTACGATAAATTAATATTGTAATTAATTTTCTATCTTTTTATCCTAATTTTATACAATTACAAAGACATATTATAATAATTATATATTCAAAATTTTATATCAAAATACATTTACAGTAAATAACGTTAATCAATTAAATTTTTATATACTTTTTTATTTGACATCATTTTGACCAAATAAAATTATAAGTGATTTTCTTACTAATTACTTAAATATCACTCTAATATTGACTAATTTGTGGATTATTTTGTTTGTTCAAAATGTACTTAATTTAAAGAAGAGATTGTAACAACAATTATGAAGTGAATCTCACACACTACCATTACACATTTATCACTAATCAATAAAGTTTTTTAAAAAATTAATAAATTCATTATTATTCCTTTGTGCCAGTGTTTCAAGGGACACGTGTCTCCATTTGACGTGCATAACTGTAATTTCATTCAACCACCAGTCACTCTAGACGTCAAGCTTTAATATCTGGTGCAAGCATAAACCCTTCCGCATTTTCTCTTTATCATCAACCCTTTCCGTTTCTAAAACCCTCTCTCTCTCAACCAAAAACCTTCCAATTCAATCCACATAACCATGAGTTCATTCAACAGCACACCCAACTTCGACAACCTCCTCCTCCAAACCCTAATGGGCAGGCTCCAAATCCGCCCACCAAACCTTCACTCACCACCAATCCTCACCCAAACCCTAGAAGACCTCCTCTTCGACATCAACAACCTCTCCGACGGCGACGAAGACGACGACAGCAAGCCCCAACTCGCAAAGGAAGAAAGGAAGCTCGAAAAGGAGATTATTCGAACAATCCTCAGTGGAAAAACCGAAACCCTCAAACCCAATTCAGGTCAGGCCGTTACAATTGGTGAGCATCATATATGTGTTGGATTTCACGAGGAGACCGATTCGGATTATCGTGTTTGGGAGTGGCATGGACATATAATGCTGTTTGATGAAGAAAATGGGTATACACCTGAGTATATATATGGTAATTACTTTGAGAGAGTTCCTGTGAAGCCTGTTGTTGCAAGGGATGATGAAAAGAAGGGCGATGAGAAGGAGGAGAAAGTGGGAAATCTGGGATTGAGGGAATTGATCGAATCGGGCGACTCCAGCAGCAGTCGAATTCTTCATCGGAATGTCAGTGCTGGGTCTCCAAGGTTTATATGAAACCCTCTCATTTTCACATAAGCTTGCATGCATTTGATATATTCCTAGTAAAACTTTTGAGTGTATGAGGTCTTTTTGAGATTATGTGGTGGTTTTGGTATACCTGTGATTCACACTGTGCCGTTATTGTTTATGGATGTTTATGTGGTGTTTTTGGTGGCTTGATAATTTTGAAGTCTGAAGCAGCCTGATGTTGTGGTACTCATTGTAATTATGTTATTTACATGTTTGAATAGGATATCTATCAATCTTGTTTATGTTTGTTTGGCACTTTTTGTTTGTTATAGAATTTTATGATTGAATTGCTGCTCAATATATACATTGTTTAGTTATGCTTACTCAGAGGTTCCTTTGAGAAGCAAGATATACAACAGACAAGCTTGTTTGACTGTACTGAGATAAAAAGGATTTCTGTTTCCTGCCATGAGAAATTGATATTATAATGAAAATATGATAATAATGTGTGACTGATTGTTAGCACTTAGCAATTGTTTTATTGGCAACTTATCATAGTGGTAGTAGCGTTTCAGAAACAAGCTGGGAATGATGGCGCAGCAATGGTGTTACCAATACCAAGTTTGTGATGGTTGATAATATGTTTATGGTTGGGCAACAGCAATATCTGTAGTAGTGGAAGCAACATCACTTTTGTAGCACGTATCGGGGTGATGGGTTGATTGATGTGATGATGATGATATTGGCAGTAATAAACTGTTCCTAATTTTGTGCGAGTACTTTTGAGATGCTATGTAGATGGTCACTTGGTGATTATGATATGTATAATGCATATTGGAGGGAATTTTTGTGAAAACACGAGTGATGCATACTGAATTAATTACTGGAATAGAGAAATATCCGTATTTAAATTTGATCTAATACTGATTATTGAAGCAACTGTTTTACAATATAATGGCAGCTTGACACTACTGCAAATTGTGATTTTATACCTGCTAGAAGTATAATAATTTTCAAATATATATTCTTTATTCCAATCTGATTAGTAAAGATTTTATTTCTGGGAACCATTTTATATTTTAAAAAATTGCATATTCAACAAGGAGTTGACAGTATGAAAGTTGGATTATCCTGCAGAGGCTTACTTGATTGCTTTCTTTCGTATTTACTTCTTGAGATTTTTTGTTTTCTGGCTACATTTAGAAATTGAAATTTAACACTGGCTGTACATGCCAATTGCCACATCACATGTATCAACTATCAAGGATAGAACATACATAATAGAATGCAAGAATTTTATAGTTGACTAGGTTTTTGTGATGCTAAAAGATAAAAAGCATTTTTGGTTCTATAGGGCTTATGGATTGAAAGTGAAACTGAAATGCTGATAGATACTTTCTGAAAATTTTATTAATGGTTCAGGGAACAGATAATTTACCAAATAATAGCTCAGATTAGTAATGAAGTTATGTTTAAAGGACCTCAAGGTATTGTCACGTTGTTTTAAATGTGTTTGTATGATACTACAATAAAAACAGGATTTGCTTTTCTACACAAGATCCCTCTTCCAATTACCAGGAGATAAAATTCAAATGATTATTGACTGCTCCTATCAAAACTATGATCATTGGAATCTTTTACTTGTGTGTTTGTCCTGCCTATGCATAACATATATGAAAGTGAGAATATTGAAGGGGCAATTGGCTTTTGTGGTACCTGGAATTATCATGGAAGCAAGTCAAAGAACTTCTCTAATTGAATTATCTATGTGTTAGCCGTATGATTCACATGTTGCATATCTAGTTCTGGAACCTAATTTTGAAATTAGTTTTGCAGACTGAGCTTGAGTCCTGTGGGGAATCTTTTTGGAAAGATTGAAAATGCATAAAAATGGTTTTATATACAAAGCATTTGAAAAACTTTCAAATCTATAAGTAACCAAATGGTATAAATAACTTGAACATGGGGAAGAAAAAGAAACTCTTTTGGTCTTACTGTTTTATCTTTATATCAAGCATGCTGCCTAGGACTATGAAGACTGTTATAAAGTAGTTTTAGTATCAAATCCAAGAGCTATTATTTGACTGGATATAGTCAAGATAACATGTGTACTTGAAGATTTGATTGATCGTTCCTTCGAAATTTAATTGTCAAATCATATTATCGGCTTAGCACCCTGTAAGAGGTCTCATCTGCTACCCTCTGAGAAACAGTCTTAGATGATGAATGAAGAATGTTCTAGTGTCTTGCTGTCCCAATTATGTCAACATGAGTGCAGGAATTGTGTTGGACATGCCAATGAGATGTTGAGACCCAGGTGTTACATGTTAAGAAGAGTGTTTTCTATAACTACTATGGTTTTAACTCAACCCAATAAACCACTAGTCCAACATATAATTGAAGGTGAAAATGTTACTGTAGATTAGGACCTAATTGTGCTGTGATGAATGGAGACGTGGCACAATCAAGAGGGACTATATGACAATCAGACGGATCAACATTCAGAGAAATGTTAATTATTTGTTTGATAAAGCCAGAGATTTCACCAACCACGTAACAAGCACCAATGATATTAAATATTAAACGCCTGAAGGTAGCGTTGATACTGTTAGATTGTCATCCGGACATCTGGATCCGGTGGCCAGTAAATAAAAAATATGTTATTTTAGAAGTCCTGCCGAATACTAAACAACAATTATTTGTATTTTTGAAATTTGTCTATACTCAAGTTTCCATATGTTGAGAGCATCAGGGAATGAATTGTATTCCATTTGCTTGGATCTTATTGAAAATGCATTGTATGTTCTTATGGTTGGCAATTTTTTTCATCTGTGGATTTAGTATTGAAAAATGTCCAACTGTGATCCATGCGGGTGTTATATCTTCATGGTTCTTTTCTCTTTCTTGTTATTCTTCTTGCTTTTCCTTTTATACTTGCAAGAACTTCATAACCTTCCTCTCACATAAGCTGTTGGCATTGGACCCATAGAGAAAGCACACATTGGTTCATTTAGCTAGCAATGTTGTATATGGTGATCCATTTGTAGACTGTAAACTAATTTCACCTTTTTCCACTAAATTTCTTACATTTTTATGTATTATTTGGACACGACGATCCCACAGGCTACAACACGAGTTATTAATGCAGTGGACACGGTCTTTCATTTTCTGAAAGATGTTACAATACTAGTTCTATTACCTATCACAACATAATCACACCATTATCATTTCTCACTCTGAGCTAGGGCAGCATGTTTTTCTGTATTTGTGTGTGTGGGTGTGTGATATCATGAATTTTCTACACCGTGCAATGATGCCTTAATCCTGCATCTTTGTATTGATCCATGTTTTTTCCATTAAAATTGTGCCAGGGTTTAGTTGAGGTTTGGCAGATTCAGTGAAGGAGCTCTGGGTTTTGGAGAGGGAGACTGCATCTCTCTGTGGAGATTGAAATTCTAACTTCTACTGAGCGTCTTTCAGCGGTTTTCAAGGGGCAGATGGCATCACTTTCTTGTTTTTATGCTTGAATTCAATATAAAATGAACAGTCCAGAATTGGACGAAAAGACGTTTGTAAGATTGAACCTTTTCTCAGCAGTTTCTTTAATGGAGCAGCAGAACGAATAGCTGTCTCATTTTGTTCATCATCCCATCAAAATCTTTGCAGATTAGTTTATTGGTTTTCTTCCTCTTACATGTTATTTTCTGTGCTTGGATGGAAATTTTACATGCATTCTATATAAATGGGCCCGATCCTATATCTTCTGCTGCTGATACCACTTTTGAGAGTTACTTTTAGCTACATGTTTTGTTTGTTGACCTTTTGCCCCTCCTTTTTTTTCCCATTATATGTACCAGAGATATTGAAATGGTTTAGTGCTTTTAAGGGATTTCATAGTTACTCGCGCAGTGCCTAAAATTGGCTTGAAGGTTGCTAGCCCAATTACGAAACTATTCTACACACTGCTATGTCGCATGAATGCTTTAAGTTCTTTCCATTTGTAGAAGTGATGATTGTTCATTTGTTTGCCATCTTAAAGTGGATGGTGTTGGGTTGCTTGCCCTAGATAATCCCAAATGCATTGTTGGAGTTAGATTGGAGAAAAGCGAAAAGAAAATGGTTTTCATTCTTTCCAAACATGACAGAATGAGAAAGAGCAATGGAATGCAAAATATACACATTCAAGGTGTTGAAGCAGGTTCATCACTTCATCCAGATATAGGTATATAGAGCAAGGCCATTGGGATCATGAACATCTTCTTTGAGAAGCTCTTTCGGGAGGCTTCGAGACTGGTACAGCAAGAAGCCAATCGTCATGTTGCTGTGAGGTTGGTTTTGCCCAGAGAATTGGTGAAGCATCCGGTGTCAAGAGGGGAGAAAGGCAGTCACCATGTTCACCAGTTCTTGTTGTATAGAGAGATGAATGATGAGGTGTTGGTGGCTGATGGTGAATTAGGGCTCTATTTATTATGGTAGTAATTGATTGATAACAGAGAATTAAAAACTACTGGTGTTGGCTTCAAATGCTGTTGATTTGGCAATGCAAAGTCTGAGTTTTTAAATGCATTGGCTTCTCTTTGCGTTCTTAGAAGACGTTGTCCAAGAAATATTAAGAGAGTGCATTTTCTTATGAAATAACGTTGTCTTTCAGATTTATCATAAATTTTTCGTACCAACCAAACACAAATGAGAAAATTCTCTTCAGTTTCTCTATTACTTTCACTTTCAATGTGATAAAATGACAAAAGCTGACACCCGTATAGCAGGTCGCCAAAGACGGCTCAGTACAACTTATGGGCATCTCTTCCCTTGAGAAAATGAAGTGATGGTGAACAGCTATTGTTGCAGTCAAATCCTCTTGTTTCACATGGGCACATTATCAAACTTTCCTCCTGTAGTTAACAAAGTTCAAACCATCTTTGCTTCCAATTTTCACAACTTATCCTCCGGCTCCCAACACATCTCACTTTTAGTTGCAATTGAAAAACCTTATAAGTAATGTTTGAGAGCATTGAATTAGTGCTTGGAGGGAATTTGGTTCAAACTTTGAAATTTATTAAAAAAAATTTCCAATTTCAAATTCAAATTCCCAATTCAAAACTTTCAAATCCAATATTAGAATATTGCTATGGTTGCCGATCAGTTTTTAAAATAGTCTCTCCTTTCAAAATATTTAAATTAATGAAAACAAATTAATAAGTTTTTAAGATAGTATCTCCTCTCAAAATATTTAAATTAATGAAGACAAATCAATAAGTAAATACGTATCTTTTTATCATTTTTCCAAACTTCAATATTTATCAATCTGAAAGCAAAGTGATTGATAGATAGATACCAATGAAATTATACATGCGAGACATACATGTTTATTGATTGTTGGTCATTTTATGAGACCGTGAATATGTTTATTTATTATTGGTCATTTTCTTCAATTCACATTTTATGGTCAACAGATTTTGTCAAACTGAAAAAGTCTCTCCCCTTGAACATGTACCAATAAATGGTAAAGAACTTGTACGTTTCTCCATAATTACCTTACCCATCCCTCCAAAACCAAGAGAAATTTCTTCATTCCATGTTTAGTATGAACCATCCCCGATTAACATCAAACAACAGTGCCCAACCACACTAATAATCTAATTGACAACAAATGGGATTTGAGATTGAAACCAACAATTTCATTTCCTTCAAACCAATATAAGTTCTAACAAGTTCGTGGAAACAAGAAGAGTTCAATCAACCTAAACACTACCCACATAAAGCTTTTTCCTACACAACAACAACACATAATCAAATTACATACAAAGAGAGAAAACACTTTCTTCCACACTACAAGAACCCTAAGCCTTCTTAGGGGACTTGGTGGCCTTGGAAGGAGACTTGGGTTCCTTTCCGGGCTTCTCAGACTTCTTTGGCAGGAGAACAGGGTTGATGTTTGGTAGCACACCTCCATGAGCAATCGTCACTCCAGCGAGAAGCTTCCCAAGCTCTTCATCATTCCTCACTGCCAATAGCAAATGCCTTGGTATTATCCTGTTCTTCTTGTTGTCCCTAGCTGCGTTCCCAGCCAACTCTAGCACCTGAACACATTACAAATTTTCAAACCCACCACAGTCAGCATAAATCACATGATACCAAACCAAAATCCACAATTAACTTCTGTTTGATTGCTCAGAAAATGTATGAAAGGAAAAAAAAGGACTAAGATTCGTCCATCATGTACTGTCAAAATTTGCAGAGAACACCAAATTAAAGAACAAAATTTAGCTCTCATCATCAATAGAAGTACTAAAACACAAATAGAGTATATCGTGTTCAGAAATCCAATAAGTATCAAATACTTTTGTCTTATTTTCCTTTGCTTTCTCGGTAACCAAACGAAGGTTTAGGGCTTCAAATGATTTGAATATAATTAAAGAAAATAGAAGCATGATACATAACAAACTAAAACTGGTAAAAAAATCAATTTTACGTACGAACAACAGAAATTGCTGCACAGGAAATCTAGAAGTTCGACAAAATTATACCAAAGCCAGAAGCTGAGATGCACATACATACATGAAAAAGATGCGTATACGTATCTAGAGAGAGTGAGTTACCTCAGCAGCGAGGTATTCGAGTACGGCGGCGAGGTAAACCGGAGCGCCAGTTCCGACGCGCCGAGAGTATCGGCCTTTCTTCAGGTACCGGCCGATTCTTCCGACCGGGAACTGCAAGCCAGCTTTGACGGACCTGGAAACCGGTTTCTTCTTTGGACCGCCCCCTTTCCTGCCTCCGGCACCTTTCTTCGCCTTTCCACCGGTATCCATTTTAGCAGAACGAGTGTCTGGAGAAAAGAAAACGATTTTCTCGAGAAGCAAACACACTGAATGAGGAGATAAGCAAGTCGTGTTGTCCGGACCCAGCGCAGGATTGAGTGCTCGGGGTGTTGGTTATAAATGGTGAGGCAATGAGGTGTTGGTTTTGGTATTGATGGAGTGTTGAAATAGTGACCGTTCGATGGGGATATGATCGACGGCTGTGGGTGATTATTTTCGCGATCCGTGTGCTTTGAGAAGGACCAATAAGATGAAGACACGATAGCATAGTAGCTTATAAACAATGTTGAATGGTGAAAAGTAAAAGTAAATAAAAGTGGAGTAAATAAAAGAAAATTATATTTGGAAAAATTACCTCCTCCTACTTTTTAATCATAAAGCCAAGTAAGCCTTAAATTTTTTTGATTAAGATAAAAGAATTCTTGCTTTTGAAATTTATTTTCAATAAATTTTATGAAAAATATAATACCTCTTCCACCCTTTTCATATATTATTGGGTGGATTGTATTGGGTGGATTGTTTTGGTTGGCGTTCTTCATTTTTATCGACAACATTAGTTGAATTATAGTTTACTAATTAGCTCACTGTTGTTCATAATTTTTTTTTTTTCTTATTTCAGTTTTTTTTTTTTTTTTTTTTTTTTGGTAAGTACAGCTTCATCCAACATATTAGTTATAGCGAAAAAAAAAAAATCTCCTTTTTTATCTTTCCTAGGTGAAATTTCAATTCTACTTTCAAAGTCATGTTTTCATTAGATCCTCTTATAGAATTTTTATTTTTTTAAAATTTTTTTTTAAAGGTGCATGTTTTTCTTATATATGGATATTTCACACATAAGTTTCTTTAACTAACAAAATTTAAATCATTAGATGGATAATTGTTCCATTTTTCCACTTCAAATTATATTTGAACTTTATCGTGACGTTCCGAATTTTCGCAAACCTGGATAGTCGATGTGACCTGATAACAGATCCCGAATGCGGAAGCGGAAAAAAAAAAAAAAAAAAAAATGCAGAAACAAAAAGGTGAAAATAGACCAAGTATGTCCCTGAGGGCAAAATGGTCATTTCACATGCAAACAAAGTCTCAAGAGTTGTACGTCATCCTTAAGACACAAACATGGCTTCCCATGAAACCACGGAACTTAAAAGAAAACAAAATGTGGAAACGAAGTTTTAAAAACGGACACGTTTAGCCTAAGGGCAAAATCATAATTTTCAAAAGGGTATGGGTGCCACCATTAGATAGATGGCGAAAAATTAACGAAGTTGGACTCAAAAATCACTTGATTCGGAGACCAAACAGAAGAGGACAAGCGAAAACAAAATCGGGCGTTGTCACGGCCGAGAGCACCAGGGCTAAGCCCCATGCGCTTGCGTATGCTGAAGTTGCCAGTGACGTATTTTGAATCCTAGACATGTTTTGAAACCCGGGCATGTTTTAAAAAAAAAATTGATGAAAACAGAAAGCGTTTTGTACCCCGAAACAACCTTTTTTGGGAAAACACGAAGAATAAACCCCTTAAAATAATTTTTTCAAACTGACCATATCGAAAGAAAATTTTATTTTTGACCTGAAATGCCCAAAATACCCCTGAGGTCAGTTTTGAAGAAAAATGTCAAAATGCAACTTTGCTTCAAGTGTTCAAATGACCAAATATGAAGTTGTGGACTAAAACAATTGTGCACGCAAGCGTAATAAATGTTTTAAAACATGCAGAAATGGTCTGTGACCCCCAAATATACCCGATACAAAATTCGATCTATTAAACCTAAAAAATGCCTTAAAATGAAAATTTTGAAGTCTAACATCAACCATAACATGCAACCATGATATTTTGTGCAAAGTAAACATTCTCGCAAACGTAATATACATAATAAAATGCGTCCCAATGGTCCATGATCTCAAAATACACCATATGTAAAAATATGACATGCTTGAACCCCCAAATCATGAAAAATACCCTTTTAAGCACTTTGTGAAGTCAATCATTATAGATGCATTCAAAAGACCGTTTGACCCTTGACCACGCGTCACATATGATACAAGAACATTATGAAAAAAGATAAAACGTATTTCCCACCATCTAAACTGAAATTGACTTGTTAAAGTTTCGCATTTTCCAATTTAATACATTTTTAAGCATAATTTCAAATAACATAAAAGTAAAGCATGAGGTTCTTGACCCTTGGCCTCATCACATACATGTCAAATAGGTATCAAATGATGCATTTAGGTGCTTCTTACATATTCCAAATAGAAGTTACAAGTTTTGACATATTTAATCGAAAATAAGGCAAAATCATGCAAGTAAGTGCATGTAAGGAAATACGCCAACTCATTAAGCCACAAGTAAGTTCTAAGGATATTGTGCATCCCTAAAGTACGGTTCCTTACCTAAAAAATGTCCCAAACAATGAGAGTGAATAAACAAGTTACTCGTAGGAAATGAACATGCGTATAACCTAAAGTTTTGCAAGTTTTTATAAGTTGATATAAATTAATCTATGTGATTCATGCAACCTAACGTTTATGTCCAATGTGAGACTAAAGGATTATCCTAAGTTACATTAGAACATCCACATCATAAACCACAATAAATAAGCAATTAAACAACCTTGAAATATCAAATACAAGGAAAACAAATTATAAATTCACAAAGCAAGTAACTTGAATTTTAAATGCGAAATCAAATAAGTGGAAAGGTTAGGACATGCGGTCACAAGACCGAACAAGTTATTTTGGGTAATTACAACCCTCAAGGAACTACCCAGTGCACACTTTGTGACTAAGGAAGACTTTTATCTCCGTACTAATGCCGAGCCCTAGCCATCACATAAATTATGTCCTTATACGCTTTACAAAATCAACAAATAGTGCACAACAAATATGTACACATATACTAAATGCACATAATTAAATACCACACACAATCAAAATGTAGAAACACACAAGACATGCCCTAGGTCATCAACTACCATAGCATATAACATAATAGGCATTGAAAATATCAAAAGTGTAAATAAATCATAATTTCATTAAATGGAAACTAATTAAATAAAAATTAATTTATTTATTTAGATAGCAAAATATCACCAAATAACATGAAATTAACACATAATAAGTAACATACCATGAATAACTCAAATATCAAATCAAAAGTCTAATTAAACCACTAAAACACTTAATTAATTTTTAATTAACTTAATTAATTAAAAATCTTTAGATTTCAAAAGTCATCTAAAAATTTCAAAAATAATATATGATAAACTACAAGCCATGGGCTCTCCAAATATCATATTATTAATTTCATCTAAGCATGCTTCAACTATGAAATTAAATCATCATTTAATTAAAATAAAAATTATTTCTAAATCTAAACTTTAAACATGCATATAAGTTATATAAATCTCAAAAATATGTAAAATACTAAGATTATAAACATGAAATACCCTCTATCCCACTTTGAGATGAAATCTCAAATTCCACCAAAATCAAATTCCACAAAATGCGACGAAACTTCGGGGTTTTGATAGGAACAACAATGAGAGCAAAAAATCCTCAAGAGACAAGACCCAAATCCAAATTTGAACTCACAACCCAAAAATCAAAGTGCTGCAAATCGAAAACCGATCAGATAGAAATGACTACGTCATCGAGAAAATCAAAAAAGCCTAAACCGCGAAAATGAAAAATCAAAGAGGAAATAGAAGAAAAGAGGAGAGAGAAAGTGGTAGCCTCCAAGCTCCTTCAACGGTGGCTGGTCTGCTTTTACATGGAAGAAAAAGTGAAATAACTTTCTCTCTCATCCACCTACCCTAAATAGGCAAAAAAATGTGTCCCGAACGAGCCCCGCCAGAGTCCAAAAAGTGAAATCAGTGAAGACATGCTCAAATGCAGATGATCCATGAACAAAAACGTTTTGAAATAGAATTCTAAGATCAACGGAAGAAACGAGATCGAAAACCGAGCCCCGAGCGAAAAGTTATGCCCCGAACAAGACTGACGATTAACAAGATTCGAAAATTCAAAATAAATGAAATAAAAATTCAAAAAAAACTCCAAAAGCCTAGAGTTAATAAAAAGTGAAAATAAAATCCTCATAAAATTTTGAACCCAAAACGAGAAACTTTTTCAAAAACTTTCCATAATTACACAAATGCCCCCGACTGAATAATTCAAAAAGTGAATTTCTCAGAAAGTCCAAAATGAAGTGTCATTCAAAAGGTACATTTAAAAGAATCTTAAATACAAAATTTTATCAAAAGATAATTACGAAAAATACCCCAAGTAAAGAAATACAATTTTCAAGAATATTTGCATTTATACCCCTACGGGCAAAAGTAAACATCTAGCATGCTTTTCTACAAAAGTAAAAATGTGGATCACATAGAAATCAAATAAAATGAATGCATGTACGGTCGGAATCAAATCCGAGCACGACCCAAAAGGTTACGCAAAATGAAAAAACAGTGAAAAATGATAAAAAAAAAAATAAATCAGCGGAAAAAAGTTATCAGTAAAATTTGAGAAAATAGAAATGAAGAAAAATGACCAGGTCATTACATTTTATTGTTTGTTTTAATTGCACTAATTTTTGAAACCATGATGACATAATTTGTATTTCATAAAGATGCACACTCCAAGGAAGTAAAGGTGAGTTAACATTAAAAAAATAAAAATAAAAAAGGAAGGTGAGTTAACATAAATTTAATAGTTTGATAAATTGACAACAGTTTTATTAGTATATGACATTTTTTTAATATGTGAAAAAAGAAGAAGGAAATATGGATGAGTTTCATAAATTTTTGTACTCTAGTAATAATAAGGATAATATTGGAAAAAAAAGTTATATTTGAACTTATTTTGAAATAGATCTCAAAAGCAGGACATATTTGTCATACCAAATTTTTATAGGACTTAATTGTTTTTTAAGTGCAAGACTAGGGTGTAATTTTTTCAATATATTTTTCAGTATATATAATTAATAAGAAAAAAAAAATTATAAAAATTACCATTTTATTGTTTGAGTAGTATAAAACTTACCCCCAAAAATGACATTGTTGTAAGTTTATAAAACTTTTTTAAGAAATCAAACAAAATTTGT